CTTCTTACAAAGCCACGGGTACCCTCGCTCGGAACAGACCAGGCGCCATACCGCTCAACTACCAACATTTCAGAAACGCGGGCCCAGACTCAAGCTTTTTCCACTATGTCCAACCGCAGAGGGAACAGAAAAGCCGTATACTCATTGCTTTTGCTTCCTTCCTTCTTTCCTTTCTTCCTTCCTTCCTTCCACAGAGCCCGGGGACCTGGGTTTCTGTTCAGCCTTGTGGGAATCCTGCCGGCAGCCACAGGACCAAACTCAGGACCCATCTGTGGCCCGCGCCGCCAGGAGCAAATGCTATGATGCTCTTTGTGTGGCTATGGACACAGGTGAGCTTTGCCTTCTTTAATTAAAAAAGAAAAAAGGGGGGAGGGGTTGGCCAGCTTCCCTTCGGTAAGGGGCTCGCCCGGTACAGGTGCCCACACTTATTTGATCTCAGAAACACTTGAGACGCTGGTTTAAAAATAAGGATCGATCTCTGAGGAGCATTTGAGATCCTGCTTCCTGGCATTCACCACCAGTTTGGTTCAAATAAACTCTTATAAAATGTCTCTACGGGTTTGGACATTTTAAAAAAAATATATATATTTTATTGATTTTCTACAGAGAAAAAGGGAGAGGGATAGAGAGTTAGAAACATCGATCAGCTGCCTCCTGCACCCTCCCCACTGGGGATGTGCCCCCCACCAAGGTACATGCCCTTGACTGGAATCGAACCTGGGACCCTTCAGTCTGCAGGCCGACGCTCCATCCGCTGAGCCAAACTGGTCAGGGCCAGGTTTGGACATTTCTTATGTCAACAGCCAGTAGACAGAAGGTGCAGGATTTCTGGAAGATGGTCCATCATTGCATCAAGTGACCCTTTTGTTGATTCCTCTCACCTGATTGCTATGTTTTTCTAATTGTAGATTCATTAACTTCACATGACAGTGTCTCTTAGGGAATGTTGCTACTTGCCAAACAACATATGGGTATGTGTGTGTGTGCATTTTCTTTGCCATCTTTTTTTTTTTTTTTTTTTGCTGGGAAGTCCTTGAAATAGGATGGATTGCTTTGACCAATCTAAGCCTGAAAAGGGATTCGTGTATCTACCGAATGGACCATCTTCCAGAAATCCTGCACCTTCTGTCTACTGGCTGTTGACATAAGAAATGTCCAAACCTGGCCCTGATACTGACAGCAACCATCTGAGCCAGTCACTACGACACAACCAACATGCTCCAAACGAATGAGGAATAAGTCCATGAATAAATATGGATTCTCAGCTCTTTATTTTTATGGTTCTGGTTGCACCGTTAGGTGACTTACACAATGAAGTGAGGACACCCTACATTTATAAAAGGGGGGAAATACAGGACTCAAACAGAAAGAAGGGTTTCGGCTAAGATACCCAGGTTTTCTGAATACGTAACTCGGTAACGGTCCATGTTTGAGGGGCAATGTGTTCACCCCCCAATCCTGAAGCAAAGCATTCAAAATCTAAATCTTTAGTGGAATCACCGCGTTTGCCAGCCAACATCCCAAAGGGGCTTTTGAGGGCTGCCTGGAACATCCTGCATCTCTCTCTTTAAAAAAAATAAAAATAAAAAAATTAAAGGGTCCTTGCTCTTCTTTTCCACAGTCCACGTGTCTGCAGAACCCACAGACGGAAGGCCTTTTATTTTGAAAGCTTTACGGTCACCATAGGCTTTTTTTCAGAAGAAAGACTTTCTTTCCAAACGATTCGAAAGATACAAAATGATCACTGGTCACGAGAGGGGCTGTCGCTTCGGAAGGCGGTTGTCAAGTCACCCTGTGTACGTACAACTCCATTAAAGATTAAGAGAAATAAACCCAAAGGCCTTGAATCCGGAGGTACGTACGTATGTACGTACGTGCAACTTAACCGGCGAATCCATTACAGGCCGGTCATGCGGGGACATTGAGGCATTGCACATTACCTTGATCATCTGTCAGAATACAACATGTGAATATAGGAAGGTGGGAGAGAGATGAAAAAACTGAGGAGTTTCCTGTCCATGACCTTAACTAACATCTGTAAAATACTCCTCCTATTCCACCACCACTCCTTACCCACCCCCTCCCTTGCAGAATGCAAGCTGATCTATTTGCTCCTGAGCTAGAAGGGAGGAGGAAGGGCGGCCAGGTGCTACAAGAAAACCCTTCAGGACATGGACCAGCGCCAGGGCACAGCCCGCCTGGATGGGAAATGAAATCCCAGCGAGCCTCGGCCCCTGTCGAATAAACCTAAATAAACCACAGATGCAGAGGTGTGTTCTCCTGCGACATAAGGCGAGGACAGTCTCAAAAACCCCTGGATGCCCAGGGGGCCTCCATCACTTGCTCGCCTTGCCCCTGGGTCCACACATTAGGGCCCAGAGCTTCCATCTCCCCGTCTGCAAAAAGGGGACCATCCCAGCTCTCAGGGGCCGGTGCAAAGAATGGGCCGAGGCGGCAGAAATGCGTAAATAAATAAAAGGTGACTATTCCACCGAAACCGGTTTGGCTCAGTGGATAGAGCATCCCAGGTTCCATTCCGGTCAAGGGCATGTGCCTTGGTTGTGGGCACATCCCCGGTGGGGGGTGTGCAGGAGGCAGCTGATCGATGCTTCTCTCTCATTGATGTTTCTAACTCTCTATCCCTCTCTCTTCCTCTCTGTAAAAAAAAAAAAAAAAAAAAAAAAAAAAAAATCAATAAAATATATTTAAAAAAATACATAAATAAAAGGTGACTATTCCTGTTGTGACCGGGGAAACCTATTCCAACAGAGAGGCTCGAGGGTGAGAGGGCCGGGCATGCAAACTTTCTTAGGGATCCAGCTCCTCCTCTGAGCGCGCCCGCCCGCCCGCCGCCCGCGGTCTGCAGTCCGCGCCACCTTTCCCGCGGCGGCTGCCGGGCGGGGCGGGCGGGGCGGCGGGAGGGAGCGCGGGCCCCGCGGCCGGGAAGGCGGGAGGGAGCGCGGGCGCACCGGCGGGCCGCCGCCCCCAACGGCTCCGCCGGCCCGATCGCCGCTCGGGACCCCGAACCCCGAACCCCGCAGCCTCCACCGCCGCCGCTGCGGCCCGTCCCCGCGGCGATCGCCCCGGGCTCACTCACTCCCCGCGCGGGCCAGGGGCCCGGAGGGCCAGGGGGGACCCCCCGCGCCCGGCCCGGCCCCCCTCCGCCGCCGGCAGGTGGAGGCGCCCGGCGCTCCGGCCCCGCGGTCCCCTCCCTCCCGCCCCGCCGGGCGCAACTTTCTTAAAGGGACAGGTGGCCGCTATCCGGTCCACCTGCAGCCCTGCAGCCCGACCTCGGCCTCCGGGCCCGTCCCCGCTGCAGGGGAGACAGAGGGTTGCAACCTCTCCACCCGCCCGCCGCCCTTCCCGCCGGCAGGGACGGACTGCACGTCTCCATGCACCCAGGATCCTTCGGCCACTCCATGCGTTTGGCGTAAACCGCTCCTCCTGCAGGCGGGCGAGCTCGCAGGCCATGTCGTTGCTGCGGCTGCCCCCGGGGCAAAGGGTCCCTACCCTTGCACCCCACCTGGAGCCCCCGGGCGTGCAAGGCTCGCCGCTGCCGGGAGGGGAAGGCCGGCTGCAATCCCCTTGACCCTGCCCTGCAACTGACCCTCGGGGGGGGAGGGAGAGGGAGAGGGAGAGGGAGAGGGAGAGGGAGAGGGAGAGGGAGAGGGAGAGAGAGAGAGAGAGAGAGAGAGAGAGAGAGAGAGAGAGAGAGAGAGAGAGAGAGAGAGAGAGAGAGAGAGAGAGAGAGAGAGAAGACCCCCCGCGGGGCTACTGCGCATGCTCCGAGCTGGACAGCTCCAGGGAGGGAAATTTAAAAACGGTTCGTGCGGCGACGGGGCGAGCAAATTGCAGATCGCGAGGGGCGAGCGCGAGGGAGCGCCCCCCGGAAGCCCGCGCCCAGCCCCGGAGCGCGGGGAGCGCCGGCCCGGCCCGGCGAGGCCCGGCTCCAGGTACCGCCGTGCAAGGTCGGCTTTGCCCCCTCCTCCCGGGAGGTGCCCGGCGGCACTGCATCTCCAGGGCCGAGACCCGGGCACAGGCCTTGCGGGGAGCTGCCTTATTCTGCTCTATTTTATTTTATTTTATTTTCCCTCCTTCCTGGGGATCCCTGGGTGATGTTGGGAGCGCATCTGAGAGTCTTGGGTGGGTTTCTGTGTACATTTCAGGCTTTGGGTTTGCAACTTTAGGAAAGATTTCTTATAGGCAGCGGGGGGGGGGGGGGAGGGTCTGGGACAGGGGCAGGTGGCATTGCTGAGGGCATGTCCAGGGCGGGAGCCGTGCAGGGATGAGTCCTTTTGCAAGTGGGCATCCGGCTCCCCCAGAGCAGCAGGCACGGACGTCCGGCTGTCCTTCCTGGCTTTTTCTTTTCAAAGTGATCGTAGCTGCATGCGGTTGAAAAGATTAGGCTTGGAAAGAAATCTGAGTGTTTGTTTTTTAATTTCTATTTTGCGAGCCCACACTTTCCAAGTCTTGACATTTAGATTCTAAAGTCTTCCTCTGCCCTTCCCCCATTCATTCGAAAAGAACCTGGAATTCCATTCCGTCCTCTTCCTTCGCTTCTTAAACCCTGGGAAAGTGACCTGGACCACCAGCAATTCTCTAGTACTTTTTCCTTCCTCCCTTCCTTCTTCCCTCCCTTCCTTCCTTCCTTCCTTCCTTCCTTCCTTCCTTCCTTCCTTTCTTTCTTTCTTTCTTTCTTTCTTTCTTTCTTTCTTTCTTTCTTTCTTTCTTTCTTTCTTTCTGATTCTTATTTCTTTTTTCTTTTTATTTCTCTTCTTTTCTTTTCTCTCTCTCTCTCTCTCTCTCTCTCTCTCTCTCTCTCTCTCTCTCTCTCTTCTTTTTCTTTCTTTTTTTTTTCTTTTCTTTCTTTTTTTTTTTTTTTTTTTTGGATACTATCGGTTGGTTGAGCTCCATCCCCCTGAACTGTGGGAAAACCGTGGTTTCTGCCCATGTTGTTGCTCACGGCAGCTTTGTTTTCTGCTTGTCTTTTCTCCAAGGAGATGATAGAGAGTGACATCCCATCCATAATGTCAGGAATGATTCGGAACTCAGGGCCGAGCCATCACCCCTCTCCTCCGCAGGAATACAGGTGAGGGCTTCCGCCGGGACAAATGACATTGTTGAAAGGGGTGTGCGTGCGCTGTTTCGGGTTCCTGAAAGCGATCGTTACACTCTGGGGTTCTGTGGGAGAGCTAGGGCGTTCTGACGTCCCGGTGGGTCTCCCTGAGGGTGCCCTCGCCTGGCGGAGGGACTGGGCACCTGGCGGATGTGAAGATGACAAAAGCAGCGCTGGCTTCCTCTCCAGTGGCCCTAACGGGGCTCCTGGACATGCCCCCCACATTGGGGTCCGGCTTCCATCCTCCTCGGGGCACTCCTGGGTGCTCAGCCTGGCTGTGTGACTTTGGGTCAGTCCCTTGCCTTCTCTGGGCCTCATCTCCTCACCGGTTCAAGGATGCTCTTGGAATAGATGGTCTTAAGGTCCCCTCTAGGTCTCATGTATTTGCAAAATAAATGAGTTGGAGACCGAGGCCAAAATACATGACTTCCTGAGACAGGATGAGGGGGAAAGCAGGTGTGGGTGTGGAGGTGGGGTGTGTGTGTGGGGGGTGGGCGGGGGGAGTGCTTTCCCTTTTTATCTTCAAACCTCAGGCTTCCAAAGGCCTTCAGGTGGGCCAGCTAGTCCAGCCCCTTCTTTTACCGATGGGGAAACTGAGGCCAAGAGAGGAACAGGGGCTTGTCCGCGGTCACCCAGCCTATGGGAGGGATTAGAATTTAAAAAAATAAAATTAAAAAAAAGGACCTGGAGGCCCCTCCCCCGCCACACCTCTGTCCCTCCAGCTCCGAGAGGCCTGATGAGGTGGTTCCTGGCCCCACGCCAGGACAAGCACCGTGTCCACGGGTTGAGGGGGGACAGCCCAGATCATGGAGCGGGAGCAGGACAGGGGCAGCCCGAGACCTCCCGTCCCCCATCGGCCTCCTTGTGGGGAGACCTCCGCCCTCGATGGGAGGGGGCGGCTCCCTGAGGGCTGGGGGTCTGGAGGCTGCTTCCCGAGACCCCGCTGGGGCACGAATGCACACACACACTTGCCGGGAGGCCGCTGTGTGTGGGCCAGGCACGCAGCCACCGGTGAGCACCTGCTGTGTGCAGGCCCCTCCCTCCCCGTCACTCATCTCCGCCTGGGACGCGGCTCCAATGAGTCCCATTGTACAGGTGGGGAAACTGAGGCCCAGAGAAAGGAAACGGCCCTTCCCAGGATCCTGCAACCAAAGGGTTTCCCTCCAGCGCCCACGGCAGGCGGAGTGGGGGCGGCCCAAGGGTTGCGAGTTTTGGGCTCCAGGGTCTGTGAGAATCTCAGCTTCTCTGGCCGCGTGGAGCTCTCTGAGCCTCGGTTTCCCCATCCACAAAATGGGCACAGAAACACGCGGCGGGCATGGAGCTGTGATAGAGATCGAATAACAATTCCTGACGCTGCTATTGGCCAGTTGAGTGATCCTGGGGACATGGGTGCCCGGCCTTGGCCATTCACACGGAGTCAGGGTTGCTTTCTCACGTGAAACAGCTAGCATGTCCCGAAGGCAGAATGACACCATCCTCCTCCTCCTCCTCCTCCTCATCATCACTGGTGCTTTCTGAACCCTTTATGACCTGCCTGACCTGGGCCGCAGCGACCCCGTCAGAGCAGCGCAGGTGTGCCCATTTGGCAGATGAGGAAACCAAGGCTCGGCCAGAGTACATGGCTCCACAAGACGATGCTGCTGGGAGGGGCACCGAGAGAATTCGAACCTGAGGCTGTGGCACCCGCAGGGCACTGTGGCTGGCACCCCCCACCCCCATGCCTCACTGGTGAAGAGAGCAGGGCCTGGAACAGAATGCGTTGTCCCACCACCTCCCAGCTGTGTGACCCTGGCACGGCGCCGGCCTCTCTGTTCCTCGGTTTCTTCATCTGGGCAGCGGAGCAATGAGGGCCCAATTCGTGGGTCATTGGGAGGTTCCCAGCCTCCGCCTGGAGAAGCCGTTTAGCCAGGCCGGGGGCGGAGGGGACGTTTTTATGATCCCACAGCAACTGCCCCCTCCCTGCCCCGTTTCCAACGAATCCCATTTCCCCTGCATAACGGCCCCAGAGAGGTTTATGGGCTTCTCATCCCGCCTCTGAGAATGGCTCCCAGGACCACACAGGGCTGCGGTCCAGCCTGGCTCCCGCCCCCCGCAGCCCGCAGCCTGCAGCCTGCAGCCCGCAGCCCGCAGCCCTCCCCGCAGCCGCTGCCAGCATCCCTAGGGGCCCGCTTTGGCGGTTGGCTTTCAATGGCTGTGTTCGGGGAGGTGGGGGGAGTGGGCAGCAGCTGGAGGCGGCCGCCCGGTCCCCGGGGAGCTGTCGGGGGGGGGGGGGGGGGGAGTCCGTGGCCGGGCCTCGACGGCAAACTGGCAGCAGTCCCCCTGCCGGCAGCGCGGTGGCCCGGGGCCAGGGCTGGGGCAGCCCTGACCTCTGGGGGCAACGGCAAACGGCTTGTGCTCAACGGGGGTTGTTAGCTGCTCTCTCCCTCCCCGCCCCTCCCGCCCCGCTCCAGGCCTGGAAGGGACGCCCCCTGCTAGAAGGGCTAGAAACAGTTATTAAGCACCTACTGTGTGCCGGGCACCTGCTAAGGAGTTTAGCAGTGCACCATCCCCTTTATGGTAACAACCGTGAGACGGGTTCTGGCATTCTCCCAGCTTCTGGACAAGGGCGTGCACTCAGGGAGCGGCCGGGCCACAGAGTTTAACCACCTGCCTCGGCCTCCGGAGTGTATTCTAGAATTTATTCAAGTCCTGTTGGAAGCCTCTCACTGTTCAGTTGAGACGATGGCAGCGACAGCAGCTTCCACCTGTCAGTCTTATGGAAATCCTTGCTGATTGGCTGTTATTGGAATTGCCTGGAATTGATCCCATAGTCTTTTTTTAAAAAAATATATTTTATTGATTTTGTACAGAGAAGAAGGGAGAGAGACAGTTAGAAACATCAATGAGAGTCATCGATCAGCTGCCTCTTGCACACCCCCTACTGGGGATATGCCCGCAACCAAGGTACATGCCCTTGACCGGAATCAAACCCGGGACCCTTCAGTCCCCAAGCCGACGCTCTATCCATTGAGCCAAACCAGTCTTGGCAGGATCCCTTAGTCTTAATAAGAGGGACAGCACGGCCGGAGCAGGGTGAAGTCCTTCCCCTTGAGGTGGGCTCCCCAGTATTCCCAGATTAATGTTTTCTAGTCTCTTCCATTTGTGTGCGGCCCCCTCCAGAGCCCGAACCCTGAGCCACGCAGGACGCGGGGCGGACGCTAGAAACTGGCAGCCCAAGGCAGGGCACTCGCAGAATCCCACAGCCCCCTTTGACAGACGGGGAAACTGAGGCCCAGAGAGGCAAGAGGAGGCTGGCTCCTCGGGCCCTCGCCTTCTCCCAGGGCCACGCCACTCCCTCCTCTCAGAAATTAGCTGACCTCGGCGAAACCCCTTCTCCTTGCTGACAGTGGTCTTCTCCTTTGAGAACCACGGCTCGGGGCACACAATAGATACTTAATAAATGCTCATTGGGTGGGTGGGGGAGTGGACAGGTGAGTGGGTGGGTGGATGGATAGATGGACAGTTGGGTGGGTGGGTGTATGGGTGGATGGATGGGTGGATGGGTGGGTGGGTGGATGGGTTGGTGGGTGGGTGGGTGTATAGGTGGATGGATGGGTGTGTGGGTGTGTGGATGGGTGGATGGGTAGATGGGTGGATGGGTTGGTGGGTGGGTGTGTAGGTGGATGGATGGGTGGATGGGTGGGTGGGTGGATGGGTTGGTGGATGGGTGGGTGTATAGGTGGATGGGTGGGTGGGTGGGTGGATGGGTGGGTGGATGAGTGGGTGGATGGGTTGGTGGGTGGGTGGGTGTGTAGGTGGATGGATGGGTGGGTGGATGGGTGGGTAGATGGGTGGATGGGTGGGTGGGTGTTTGGATGGGTGGGTGGGTGGGTTGGTGGGTGGGTGGGTGTGTAGGTGGATGGATGGGTGGATGGGTTGAGTGGGTGGATAGGTAGGTGGGTGGGTGAGTAGATGGCTGGGTGGGTAGGTGGGTGGGTGAATGTCGTGTGAGATATAACACATCCATGGAAATGCAGGGAGGCTATACGCTCATGACAACATCCTGTCGCATGGACCAGACGGGCAGACACCACCTGCCTTTCCTCCCCCTGCCCCCTGAGCTCTGTATGGCGATGGTTAACCCCTGTCAGCGTAGCCCCGCCCCCCCAATCGCTTGTAATCTTGCAGAGGGTGTGACCATCTGTCAGGGGCGGGACCATCCCAACATCCTCACAATCCTTCACCCCCTGGTGCTGGGACAGCCCCTCCGGCTACACTGAGGGCAGGGAAGAGGGCAGCCTGGCTGAGGGCTAGCCCTCCTGCGGGGTCCTGCGGTCCCACCCCCAGACACACGCACACACACACACACACACACACACACGCCACACGCTCACGCACACACACACACAGGCTCATGCACACACACACACACACACACACACACACCACGCTTATGCACACGCACGCACGCGCACAGGAACACACACACCACGCTCATGCACACACACACGCACGCGCACAGTACACGCTCATGCATACGCACACGCGCGCGCACACACACACACGCACACACACACACACACACACACACAAGCTCATGCACGCACATCCCAAGCCCAGTTCTAGAAAGTTCCCTTTTCCTAGCTCCTAAAGTAATCACTGCACATCGCGCCCCCTGCTGGCCCCGCGGGGCATTTCTGCACTTGCTTCGCGTTCCTGTTTCCTGGAAACCGCCACTCAGGATTATGTTGGCTAAACAAACACCCCTGCGAAATGCCTGTTCCCTTCCGTGTGGAGGTGGAATCAGAACCAAGAACCGTGTGCGGTGATGTAACGGTTTCTTTCTAACCACATCTGGAGGAGGCAGGCGAGGCTCCTCGTAACCAGCGTGGAGGTGCCATCCCGGGGAGGGCCCGGCACGCCCCTGCACTGCCGGGGGTCCCCTGACCCCCTAGGGACAGTGCTTTCCGGACAAACCCTCCCGGTGACCAGGAAAGGCCAAAGGAGAGGACGCAGTGAGGAGGAAGGAAGTCACGGCGTGAGCGCCCCCTGCCTGCTGGGCACTGACTTACAGTTCACCTGCCCTCTGCAGTGGGGATCGTCACCACTAACCCATTTCACAGATGAGGAAACTGAGGTGCGGGGAGGTGATGTGACTTGCCCAAGGTCCCACAGCTACCAAGGGGTTGACATGGGATGTGTACCTCCAGCAGATGCTCCTTCTACTGCTCCGTGGCTCTATCAACTCTAAGGAACCCCAAGATAGGAAGTAAGGGGTTCGCTGTGGGCTCGACTTCAGCTCTGTAGGCAAAGGTCCCCTCAGCTGTCCCACCTGTGAAATGGGTATGATCAGCAGCCACTCTGCAGGCCGTCGGGAGATGGAGAAGGTGCAGGGCAAAGAGGACTGGGGGGGGGGGCGCCTCGGGTAGCTCTCCCTCCTCTCCCCTGGGCCGGCGAGGAAGTGACCTCGTGGGCAGGAGTCTTGTCTGCTTCCCGGAGCAGGGCCTGGCAGGTGGGGGTTCGGGAAATGTTTGTGAAATGCTAGGGACACTGCTAGTGGCCATCCCCCAAGAGGCCACTTGATGCCGAATCCATCCTCTGCAGACGCCCTTTGCCAAAATGGAACCAATGCACGTGGATGAGCTGGGCACCTGCCTGCATGGGCTCATCCAAGCCTCACAACAAATACCTGCGGGGTGGGCATAGGTGTTAGCACTCCCATTTAACAGATGAGCAAACCGAGGCCAGACAAAGCTCACGGCGACTAAGTGGCCGGGTGGGATTCAGACTCAGGCCTGGCCGACCCCGGGGCCCACACCCATAACCAAGACACCAACACCACAGAGAGAACGAGGGGGGACGTGGCCTGGGCTCCCCGGCTGAGTGGGTCACCAGGGCCTGGGCTGGGCCTTCTGAGGAGCCGGAGCCTCTGAGCAAACCCACTCGGACTCACAGGAGCCACGGGCGACACACACAGGAAGCCCCGGGAAATGCCGTCACGACCCTGGTGACAGGTTATTCTGTTGGTTTGCCCAGGCGCCTGCTCGCTCCTAACCAGGCAGCTGAAGCACAGGCACCTGCTCCGCCTCACCTCTCCTGTCTGTGAAAGGGGTGATGCTGCCCCCTAGGGGTGTGTGTGTGTATGTGTGTGTGAGTGTATGTGTATGTGTGTGTGATTGTGTGTGTGTGTGATTGTATGAGTGTGTATGTGAGTTAGTGTGTGTGTGATTGTATGAGTGTGTGTCAGTTTGTGTGTGTGTATGCGAGTGTGTAGTGTGTGTGTGTCAGTGTGTGTGTGTGGTGTGTGAATGTGTGTTAGAGCATGTGAGAGTGTGTGTGTAGTGTTTGTGTGTGTCAGTGTGTGTGTGTGAGTGTTGTGTGAGAGTGTGCGTAGTGTGTGTCAGTGTGTGTCAGTGTGTGTGTGTGAGTGTGTGTGTGTGAGTGTGTGTGTCAGTGTGTGTCAGTGTGTGTGTGTGAGTATGTGAGTGTGTGTCAGTGTGTGTGTGAGTGTGTGTGTGTGTGTGTCAGTGTGTGTGTGTGAATGTGTGTTAGAGTGTGTGTGAGTGTAGTGTGTGTGTGTCAGTGTGTGTGTGTGTCAGTGTGTGTGTCAGTGTGTGTGTGTGTGAGTGTGTGAGTGTGTGTCAGTGTGTGTGTGTGTGTGAGTGTGTCAGTGTGTGTCAGTGTGTGTGTGTGTGAGTGTGTGAGTGTGTGTCAGTGTGTGTGTGTGAGTATGTGAGTGTGTGTCAGTGTGTGTGTCAGTGTGTGTGTGTGTGTCAGTGTGTGTGTGTGAATGTGTGTTAGAGTGTGTGTGAGTGTAGTGTGTGTGTGTGTGTGAGTGTGTCAGTGTGTGTCAGTGTGTGTGTGTGTGTGAGTGTGTGAGTGTGTGTCAGTGTGTGTGTGTGAGTGTGTGAGTGTGTCAGTGTGTGTCAGTGTGTGTCAGTGTGTGTGTGTGTGGTGTGAGTGTGAATTTTAAAAAGGGAAAAGATGGACATGGCTGAGCTTTGAAAAGAAAGGAGAGCCCCCGTGTGGAGTGGGGAGCTGTGGGCCACCTCCTGGGTCAGGAGGGGACTCTGAGGTGCCCGATAGGTGTTTGTTTTGTTTTGTTTGTTTTGCCCCCAAAGCTGTCCGCTCACGGATGGGGCCCCGTCTGTGACGTCCCCGCCGTGGTCTGAGGGAGGCGCCTTGTCAGGGTCACTCCTGGCACCGGATAACCTGCCAGCCGCTCCTCAGCAAGCGCTCAGCGCACTGGCTCCCCATGGTCCCCGGCCGCTCCGTGCAGGTGCCTTTGGCTCCCATTTCACACACGGGCAGACCGAGGCCCAGGGCGGGCGAGTGCCCTGCCCAGCTCCGCAGCCAGGGGGCGTGCAGGCGGGGCTTCTAACCACGGAGCCCCTCTGCCCCCTGGAGCCCCAGCGCCTGTGCTGCGGAGGGACCCCCCCGCCACCTGCTTTTCAGATGGGGAAATTAAGGCCTCGGAGGGACAGGAGCGTGCCAGGACGCTAACACTTTGGGAATGCAATCAGGGGGTCGCCTGCATGCTACTGCCATGGATGGCAGGGTCCTTGGAGGCTGCGTGGCCTCATCTTTCACCCAGCAGGGGCCTGGCAGGACCCTCGGCTCCTGCTTGCATGCCCCTGGGACAGGGAGCTCACTACTTGGTGTGGCCTCGGTGCCCAGCTCCCAGGTGTACAGACCCTGCGCTCACTTCCTCACTGCGGGGGGGGGGGGGCACCTTGAGAAACCTGCCAGCGGGGACCCCCTTCCGCTGCTCCCCGTGGCCCCGGTGCCAGGCAGACGGGAGGGCAGGGGGAGCCGAACAGGCGTGGGGAGGTGGGTGGGCCGGCCTCAGGGTGCGAAGGGGTGGGTGGGAGCCAGCCAGGTATTCCTGGCGGCAGGTGGCATGCCGGGCTCTCTCCCTCAGCCTCCCTCCGTGGTCTCCGTGGGCTGAGGGGACAGACGGCACCGCCCAGCCCAGGCCGTGGCTGTCACCGGGCCGGATGAGTTACCGGCGGCCGAAGGGGTGGCAGCTGGGGGTGGGGGGCTGCAGGGACAATCGCACTGAGGCCCCGGGACAATGGGGCCACGTGCCACCGGGCGGCGGTCGTTTGACACACAATGGGCCGCGGCGGGGACCGAGGCCGGGCCAGCTGCTGCCGCGGGCACGGGCCGGCCGGTTTTCAAACCACGTCCAGGCCCCGTGTTCCCGCCAGGCGGCCAATCACCGGGCAGCCGGGCAGTCACCTGATGCCAGCTTGGTATGGGTCCAGGCCCTGTGACAGCCCAGCAGCAGTGGCCATGGCAACGCTAATTGTGGCCCCAAAACACAGGGAGAGAGAGAGAGAGAGCAAGAGCAGGAGACCGGGGAAGAAGGGGGAAGAGGGAGACAGGAAGAGAGCGAAGGGGGGCGAGAATACCAGATTCTGGCCGGGAGGGGGGAGGGGGTGCCCGCAGAGGACAGGGGGTGGAGGTTGATGCCCGTCGATGGGTCCCGGTCACATGCCCGAGAAAAGCAGAGGTGGCATTTTCTGCCCGTTTCCTCTCTCCCTCTCCTGCTCTGGGTTCGACAGGTGGAGCTTAGAGTTTGGACCTGAGGCCTCAGGATGACAAAGCGGACAGCGCCTGGCCTCAGGGTGGCAGGGGTGTGGGCATGGGGTGGGGTCCTGGCTGGTTGGCAGCCACATGGTTGCCAGGACAAGATGCTGGGTGAGCCCAGTGCTGTCTCAGATCGGCTACCTGTCCGACACCTCACTGGCCGCCTCTCCCCCTCCGTGGGAAGTGCTGTTTTGGCTCAGGCTCTGTTCAGGGCCGGGGAGGGGGGGGTTGCATCCGAGATGCAGCCTCCAGGGGCCGCCGGGGGTCACGGTGCAGAGTCTGTGTCTCAGGCCCGGGGCCCGGGTTCCACCCCACCACGTGGTCTTTCTTGGGCAAGTGACTCGGTGCTCTGAGCCTCAGTTTCCCCATCTGTAAAAAGGGGGTGGATAGGAGCATAGTCTAGCTGTCAGGTTTGCTCCGGGGATTGAATGGGCCCGTGCTTTTTTGTTTTTAATTTATTTGAATTGTTTCCGGAGAGGAAGGGAGAGGGAGAGAGAGACATCCGTGATGAGAGAGAATCATTGATCAGCGGCCTCCTGCACGCCCCATACTGGGGATCGAGCCCATGGCCTCCTGGTTCGAGCGGGACTATGCCTTTTGGTGTGTTTTTTTGTTTTTGTTTTTCATATATTCCATCGATATTTTATAGAGGAAGGGAGAGGGATAGAGAGCTAGAAACATCGATGAGAGAGAAACATTGATCAGCTGCCTCTTGCACACCTCCTCCTGGGGATGTGCCCGCCACTAAGGCACATGCCCTTAACCGGAATTGAACCCTGGACCCTTCAGTCTGCAGGCCGACGCTCTACCCACTGAGCCAAACCAGTCGGGGAGGGACTATGCTTTTTGAGCAGGGACGCCATTGCCTCAGTTTCCCCGCCTGTAAAACGGGTACGATGATAACACCTGCCTTACGGATTAACCGGGAACGTTTCAGTGGCTTAATTCCGCCTCGAAAGGACTTGATATGGTGCTTGGCATGTAGTACGTGTTTCACACACACACGCGTGCTCGCCATCGTGGGGCGAAGGGACGTGTTAGAGGAGTGAACGGAGGCATGATCTGAGGCTGTGTCCTCTGGCTGCCAGAGGGAGGGTCCTGGGACCAGGATGGGGAGACGGAAAGGTGGGGGAGGCTCGGGGAGGTCAGGGGCTGAGTTAGGGGGGGACTCCGGAGGCAGGGGAGCCCCCGGAGCTGCCCTGAGCGCCCCACCTCTCCCGAGCTCCTGCCCTCCCCGCAGGCTCCTGGCCGCGCCCGGCGACGAGGACCTCCCTGGGGACCTGCAGTCGCTGTCCTGGCTCACGGCCGTGGACGTGCCCCGGCTGCAGCAGATGGCGAGTGGCCGCGGGGGCCTGGGCGGCCCCAGTGCCCCGCACCCACACCCAGGTAGGCCCGGGGGCTGGGGGGACGGCGTGTGGGTAGGACCAGGGAGGGCGACACCTAGAGATGCCACCCACCGGGTCGCTCGGAGCCTTGGTCTCCGCGTCTGTGATGGGCGCCTAATTCCGTATTCCCCGGAGGGTGCGAGGTGCCAGGCCTGGGAGCCGAGGTTCCGCCCCTGCGCCTAGAGCAGCCTGCAAGCCGGCGCCCGGGCCTGCGTGTGTACAAACGGTTTCACATCTTTCAAGGGTTTAAAACAATAAAAAAATAAAAATAAAAAAGAGAGAGAGAAACCACATGGCTGGCCAAGGCTAAAATACTTGCTATCTGACCCCTTAGAGAAGTTTAGTCCCCCCGACCTAGAGGGAAGAGAGAAGGCGTGGAAGGTGCCGAGCACAGGGCCTGGCGCACAGTAGGTGCTCAGCAAACGGCAGCTGGGGGCAGGGACCCCACGTGGATCCAGAGTCTGGAGACACAGAAAGCGCTGGATGGACACGGTCACAAAAGCCGTCATGGCAGTGTTTGTGGCTGAAAACTGAGGGTCCAGGAGTATGTCCTTCATTGAGCAAGTCGTCCAATGAAGGAAATACGTCACAGGTGTAGCCACGTGGTACCGATGGGGAAATGGAGGCCCAAGATGATTCCCCAGCTCATTCTTCATCACTCCCCCCACCCCAGGGAAGTGATTTGCAAAGCACCTACTATGTGCCTGGCCCCAGAGGAGCAGTATGGCTCTTCTCTCTCTCTCTCTCTCTCTCTTCTTTTTCTTTTTCTTCTTTTTTTAAATATATTTTATTGATTTTTCACAGAGAGGAAGGGAGAGAGATAGTTAGAAACATCAATGAGAGAGAGAAACATCAATCAGCTGCCTTTTGCACACCCCCCACTGGGGATGTGCCCACAACCAAGATACATGCCCTTGACCAGAATCGAACCTGGGGCCTTTCAGTCCGCAGGCTGATGCTCTGTCCACTGAGCCACTCCGGTTTTGGCTGGCTCTCCGCTCTTGAGGGAGGTGGCCAGGGACTGGGCTGTCCCTGCCAAGGCCCCGCCGCCCCCAGCTCCGCGGCGTCTCTCCGTTTCCCTCTTGCAGGTTCCTTGGCCGGGGTGGCTGACCTCCACGCGGGAGCCACGCCGGGGCCCCTGCTCCACGGCCCGGCGGGCGTGGCCCCCCCAGGCGTGCTGGGCCTGGGCCCCGTGGCCAGCCACAGAGCCGGCGTAAGTGCTGCTGCGTGGGCCGGCGAGCGAGGGGGCGTCCTGCAGGTGTGGGGTCTGCGGAGTCCCTCTGACCCTCTGTCTCGTCCTCTCCCTGCCCCCCTGCAGATGGCCCAGTTCCCCGTGGGGGGGCAGCCCCCCTCCGGCCTGCAGGACCCGCCGCAGATGTACCCTCTGGCTTCCCAGCCGCAGTGCCCGCTCGCCCGCGGCGCCCAGCAGGTACCAGGGCCTCGGAGGGGCCCCGGGCTCGGAGGCAGACTTCGCCCTGACTCCGATGGCCCTCTGAGCCTCAGGGTGCTCCCCCCCAAACCCGGGAACGACATTCTCCGCCGAGCCCCTTCGTTCAGTGCGGACCAGGCTGTCTCCGGACACCCCACACCTCAGCTCGCTCTTTTAGCCGGGGGGTGGGGCGGGGTTCACCGTGAGTGACACAGGCTCTGTCTCACCGTCTCTCTCTCCGCCCCCTGTGCCCCGTCCCTGCCTGTGGGCAGTGCCCGCCCGTGGGCCTGTATGGCTCCGCGTTCGGGGCACGACCTCCCTACCCCCCACCCCGCATGGCTGTGCATTCATCCCAAGAGCTGCACCCCAGACACTACCCCAAGCCCATCTACTCCTACAGGTGAGGTCCGGGGCGGGCCACGGGGAGCGGGCTCCGGGGTGAAGGGTGGCCAAGGACTCCCTAGCCCCCAGGGGTGATAGGCTGTCAGGAAGGCGACCCCCAGGGTGGAGAATCCGCTCCGGAAGTGGGCCCAGGGCCACACTCGGTCCCTCACAAGCTGTGTGGCCTCGGGGAAGGGGCTTGGCCTCTCTGGACCTCAGTTCCCCCTGATGTCTAAAGTCATTAAAATAATAGTATTGTAAAAATAATAATAATAATAATAATAAATAATAATAGCATTGTGTGCCTCACAGGATCCGGGGGAGGGGAGTAAACAGCCTAGGTAACGTCGAAAGGCCCACAGGCATTATTACGGGGAAGGGATAAACAGAGGGAAGGACAGGGTTTCTCACATCGGTATCACCGGTGGCTGATATCACCTCAGGGTCCAGGTGAAAAGGACAGGGGGTGGGGGAGACGTAGGGCCAAGAAGAGGTACCCATAGTCAGCACTGTGAGTGTCGGGGCTGGTCCCCGTGGGTCAAGCAGGGCGGGCTTCCTGGAGGAGGGGACCTTGGGCTGCCGGCCGGGCCCGGCCCGGCCCGGCGCGCCTCCATGCCAGGCCTGCCCGCCTTCGCCTCCAGCTGCCTGATCGCCATGGCCCTAAAGAACAGCAAGACTGGCAGCCTGCCCGTGAGCGAGATCTACAGCTTCATGAAGGAGCACTTCCCCTACTTCAAGGTGAGATGCCGCAGCCGCCCTGACCCCTCTCCCTGGCACTGTCGGCCCAGAGATGGCCCCGGGCCGCCCCGAGCCGCCCTCCCGGGCTCCGGTCACGTCTGAGACCGGGTGGTGAGGATGCGCGGGCAGAACAATCCAGACAGAGAAGGGGGTATCTGAGCTGGGCTCTGACGGGTGACGAGGAGCTCCCTGGCTCCGTATAAAAGGGGACGATGCAGAACTCAGGCCTTTGCCTCTCTGAGCCTCGGTGTCCTCCCCTGTGAGACGGGGAGAGTCGCCCCCAGCTGGCAGGTTAGCGAGGATTCTGCACGTCAAGGGCCTGGCAGCTCCTGGCACGTGGTTTAGTCGTTAGTAATGTTGTCCCTGTTGGCATCGAAGCCAGAAAAGGAGGCGGTCAGAAGGTACCAAGCTGGGGAGTCCCCATCCTGGACGGTGTGCTTAGCAAAAACAATGCAAAACAGTGGTGGGAGGGGCGAGAGAGAGGGAAGGAAAGAGGGAAGGGCAGAGAGAGAGAGAGAGAAAGGGACGGTAGGAGGTGCGTGACAGTATCCGGTTACCCAACAGTAAACTAAGAGCATCTAAACCTGGTTGGCATTTCATGCACGTGACCCGTTATCCCTGCATTCGCATCCTCTCGCTTGCTTGCTTCCTGAGTGGGAGGGGAAGTGGGAGGCCCAGCAGCCCTGGGCCCTGTTTTTATGCCGTAGCCGTGATGGAGCTGAGCTGGAGCTGCCCCTTTCCTCGGGGCACAGGCCCTCCGTTTGCCAGTCCCCACCCCTCTCTCCCGTCTGTCCGACGCCAAGTTGAGTGTGGACAGCGCCCGTTAAGCCCTGGAGGCCTGAGCCGGAGCCCCCGGGAGAGAGGGTCGGGGGGAGGCCTCCGGAGGGCTCCGGCTGCCCTGTCTCCCCGCAGACGGCGCCGGACGGCTGGAAGAACTCGGTGCGGCACAACCTGTCCCTGAACAAGTGCTTTGAGAAGGTGGAGAACAAGGCGGGCGGGTCCTCGCGCAAGGGCTGCCTGTGGGCCCTCAACCTGGCCCGCATCGACAGGATGGAGGAGGAGATGCACAAGTGGAAGAGGAAGGACCTGGCCGCCATCCGCCGGAGCATGGCCCACCCGGGTGAGGCCCGGACCCCCCATTCACACACACACACACACACACACACACACCTCTATACATGGATATCTATCTATGTAAGAGCCTAAGCAACCATCCCACCGGTAGCTATGATGCACACTGACCACCAGGGAGCAGACGCTCAACACAGGCGCTGCTGAGCTGAGGTGACCTGGCAGTTGCAGTTCTCGGGTGACACACCCGGAACCAGAGAGGAGGGAGCCCGATTCTGGGGGGTGTCACCCGAGAAGCACCCTCTTGGGATCTGGGACCCCCTCGGAGGATGTCAGAGAGCCGGTTTCGGCCTGATCCCTGCAGGCCAGGCCGAGGGACCCCACCAATGCACAGATGGGGCCTTTAGGAGAGAGAGAGAGGGAGAGGGAGAGGGAGAGAGAGAGAGAGAGAGAGAGAGAGAGAGAGAGAGAGAGAGGGAGAGAGAGAGAGACTGGAAGAAATATGCCCAGCCGGGACCGGTTTGGCTCAGTGGATAGAGCGTCGGCCTGTGGACTGAAGGGTCCCGGGTTCGATTTCGGTCAAGGGCATGTACCTTGGTTGCGGGCACACATCCCCAGTAGGGGGTGTGCAAGTGGCAGCTGATCGATGATTCTCATCAATGATTCTAACTCTCTATCCCTCTCTCTTCCTCTCTGTAAAAAAATCAATAAAATATATATTTTTTTAAAAGTTATTTAAAAAAAGAAAAAAGAAAGAAAAGAAAAGAAATATGCCCAAACCTTTACCATGAACAGAGAGAACACGGACAGTTTCTAGACGCTTCGCCTTTCTGTCTCCCCGCGGGGATGGAACCCGCAGCGTGTGTGTGTGTCCTGACCGGGATGGACCCTGCAACCTTTTGGTGCACAGGACATGCGCCACCCAACTGCGCTGCCCGGCCAGGCCACAGTGGCTCCTCTTACTGTCCTAGGAGCGAGGGGGGGAGGGGTGGCTTGGACCCCTATGTGCTCATTCCGTCCAGCCTCACGAGCCTTGTGACCCCTGCCTCACCCCTCTTTTTAAAAAAATATATTTTATTGATATTTTTACAGAGAGGGATAGAGAGTTAGAAACATCGATGAGAGAGAATCATCGACCAGCTGCCACTTGCACACCCCCCACTGGGGATGTGCCCGCAACCAAGGTCCATGCCCTTGGCCGGAATCGAACCCGGGACCTTTCAGTCCGCAGGCCGACGCTCTACCACTGAGCCACACCGGTTTCAGCCGGCCTCACCCCCTCTTGCAGGGCTGTGATGGGGTTCAAGAGAAGTCCAGGAGCGCCAGGGCCACCCACGAAGGCACCGTGCCCCTGAGGGGAGCCACTGTCATTGTCGAGGCGCCTCTCGTTCCCGCACAGTGTGGGGTTCGCCCCATGCCCACAATGCCCCCCTGTGCAGTGCGCGGTGCCACCTCCTCGGTGCGGGGCCCGAGGCTCACGGAGTCCCAAAGGCTAGCTCCGGTCACCGGGGTCACAGTGGGGATGTGAGCCAGGCCTGGGCTGCTAAGTGACCTCCCCGCGCCCCTGTTTGCCTGCAGAGGAGCTGGACAGGCTGATCTCGGACCGGCCGGAAAGCTGCCGCCGCCCTGGCAAAGTGGGGGAGCCCGAGGCGCCCGTGCCAACCCACGCCACCACGGCGGCCACGGCCCACGGCTGCCTGGCCGCCTCCCAGCTCCCGCCCCCGCCGCTGATGACCCTGTCCCTGCAGTCGGTCCCCCTGCACCACCAGGTCCAGCCCCGGGCACATCTGGCCCCGGACTCCCCCGCCCCGGCCCAGACCCCACCCCTGCACGCCCTGCCGGACCTCAGCCCCGGCCCCCTACCCTGCCCGGCCGCGGGCAGGGCCCCCGTGGACTTCATCAACATCAGCGCCGACCTGAACCCCGAGGTGGACGCCCTGGACCCCAGCATCATGGATTTTGCTCTGCAGGGTGAGGCTGGAGGAAGGGGTGATGGGAAGAGGGGGAAGGGAGAAGCTGGGGGGGGGGTGGTGGCAGGAAGACAGAGGAGGGCTGTCTGCATTCACCCCCAGCTCACTCCTTCAGCCAACACTTCCTTCCGCCTGGGAACATGCATTCCACCGAGCACTTCATGGGTAAGGTGACCAGACGTCCCGCTTTTGGCGGGACAGTCCTGATTCCCAACAATTTGTCCCGCGTCCCGCGCCGTTTTAAAGAAGTACTGATTTTTGAAAAGATCCTTTTTAAATCTTTTGGACTTTTTTTTTTTTTTTAATATATTTTATTGATTTTTGTACAGAGAGGAAGGGAGAGAGATAGTTAGAAACATCGATGAGAGTCATCGATCAGCTGCCTCTTGCACACCCCCTTACTGGGGATGTGCCCGCAACCAAGGTACATGCCCTTGACCGGAATCGAACCCGGGACCTTTCAGTCCCCAAGTCGACGCTCTATCCATTGAGCCAAACCGGTTTCGGCTCTTTTGGGCCTTTTTAAAACGCCGGGGGACGTGGGACAACTTGTTAAAAATCGGGGCTGTCCCGCCAAAAGCGGGACATCTGGTCACCTTATTCATGGTGCTTCCTGGACAGCGGGCCTGGCCCAGCATGTCACAGGCAGCCCCGCCTCTTCCCACAACAAGTGTCCCGTGCAGCCCCTGCACAGCCCGTCCTGCCAGCGCGGACGCCAAGGCAGAGCGAAGGCCCACGGCCACCTGGCTGGTCGGTGGAAGAGCCAGGATTTCAACCCCAAACGTTCCATCACGAACTGCTTCAGCCTGCATGTGCCAACTCAGGCCGGCCACACTGACCCGCTGCCTGACTCATGGCCATCCTCCTGCACGGGGATAAGTGAATGAATGAATGAGTGAGTGAATGAATGAGCAAACGAAGAACAAGAGGAGGTCAGGTTTCAGGGGAGGCCCATGACTCACTCGCTCGCTCGCACTGGAGTACCTACTATGTGCTAGCCCAGTGGGCGGCACACTCATGCGTCCGCAGAGCCAGATATCAACGGTACAGCGATGGACATTTCTTTGGAGAGCCACGTTTCTTAAAAATTCAACTTTCGTGTAACGCCACGTCTTCAAAACAGACTCGCCCAGGCCGTGGTATTTTGTGGGGCCAAAGAGCCGCATGTGGCTCGCGAGCCGCAGTTTGCCTACCATGGTGCTAGCCAATAGCCTCTGCCCTCTGCACGTCTGGCGAGGGAAATGGGCCAGTGAGCAGCTCAGTCAGTCAGCAAGCTAGTGCGTTAGTTAAAGCTGGGAAACGGGGGTGTTGGGGCTTTGACCAGGATGGTACCCCTGAATGCGGGCTCAGTGCTTCCACGCACCCTGGTTTAGGGGGCGGGTTCTCAGGTTTAGGGGGCGGGTTCTCAGGTGGCCCCATGCATCTGGGGAGCCCGAGCTGAGGGAGTGCCCTGTGGGAGGGTGAGGGCTGCGGCTGGGGCTCTGATCCCTCCAGGGGTTTCTCTGACCCCGCCCCCCCCCCAGAGGGGCTTGGACCCCGGGGCTCCCAGGAGCCGCTCACGGACGCTTTTGTCTCTGGAAGGGAACCTCTGGGAGGAGATGAAGGACGAGGGCTTCAGCCTGGACGCACTGGGGGCATTCGGAGACTCCCCCCTCGGCTGCGAGCTGGGGGCCCCGGGCCTGGCCCCCGTCTCCGGCAGCAGCGACCAGCCCTTCCCGGACCTGCAGGTGACGGGTCTGTACGCGGCGTACGCGGCCCCGGACAGCGTGGCCCCGGACGGCGTACTCGCCTCCTCCTCTCAGTACCTGGGTGCCCCCGGCAACAAGCCCATCGCCCTGTTGTGAGCCGCTGGCCTCGCCCCCCAACCTGGGCCTCACAGAGCCTCCCCCTCCCACGGGGCTGAGCCTCTGGGGGCTGCTGGCACCCCGACACCCCCCCCCACACACACACACACCTCCACAGGAAGCCTGGGGCCTTCCCGGGCAGAAGGACGGAGGAGAGGGGACAAGCATGCTGATCTCTGCCCTCCGGATGCTCCCGGGACGGATGCGAGGCCTCCAGCCGGCCCCCACGGGGCCCCGTCCACGGCCTGCAGCCCATTGGGGACGCCTCTCTGCACCCAGCACACCCTGGGGGGAAGGAAGGCCCTTTAACTTATTCTTCTCGGATGAACCATCGGCCGCAGCCTCCAGTGGACACGCCCTGAGGCCCCGAGTGGCCACCTGACTTTTCTCGGACCGGAAGAGGCAGAACTCGGAAATGGGTGCCACACACACACACACACACACACACACACACACCCCGCCTCCAGGCCACGTCGTCTGTAGTGTCCTAGCCGTCCATAGAGCAGATTCCCGGGCCACGCCACTGGCCACTGTGCATTTATTTATATTTATTGGAGCCCAATCACACCTCCTCTTCGAATCCAGCCCGCATCCCGGCGATCCGAGCACCCACGTTCTCTGCGAACCCCGTCTCCCACAGGCCCCTCATCCCCTTAGGGGCCCGGGCCGCTCCTAGAAGGAACAGCACTTTTGAGATGTGGACCATCCCATTTTGAGAACTTAAGAGACCAGAGAGTTCCTAACGGTTCCGCCGTGATTCCCATCTCTCCCCACTGGACCAAGAGGGGAGGTGCCAAGCTTTGGGGTCGCCGGGGCCTGCTAAGGGCCAATCGGATTGAACGAGAGGAGCAGGCGGGGCTGGGGGAGGGCGAAGCTGCGATGCAGTCTCCATTGCCCCCCCCCCCCCCCCCCGTCTGTCTCATTGCCTGTGGCCATTTTAATGGGGTTTTTCCCTCTTGTTGCCAATGACTGACTTTCCCGGGCGGGCTCTGCAGACAGCTGGGCCAGAGGGGAGCCAGGGGAGCGGCTTGGAGGAAGGAGGAAGGAATCGGGGACCTCCCTCCCCTGTGCCCTCTTGATGTTTCTGTCGGGGGCGAGGGGGTCCCCCAATCCTCGAGCCAGAATTTTCCAGTGAACCAGCAGGTCAGCCAGCTGCCGGGGAGACTGGGGGCTCGGCCCCATCTTGAAGAAGCATCTCTAAGGCCCTCCGATTCTGGAAGCTTCCACTGAGCATCTCTATCCCCAGACACAGCCCAGTGCTGCCCGGCTGCCCGCTCTGCCGGCTGCTTTGTGGGACCCACACCCATACGGTGTTAATGAAGATTATGTAAGCGTAGTATTGGATAACTTGTCTGTCAATAAAGGCTGAACGGCAGCTCTGTGGCTCCCAGGGAGGGTTGGGCGGGGCAGACCCTATTTACAGGTGGGGAAACTGAGGCCCAGAGAGGTGACACCACGGCCACACGGAACCCAGATCTTCTGATGCCAGGTCCCCATCACCCCGAAACCGGGAGGAGATCACCCCATCAATAGCCTGGCACGGCTGCCACTCACTGTCCCCCAGGGCCAGGCCCCTGACGGGCGAGCTCAGGCGGGGAGGTGAGCCCCGTCGCTGCCCGGAAAAGAGGGGTGGGGAGGACTCTGGCCAAGTGAGGAGGCAGCTCCGAGTCCGTCGCTCAGAGCCAGGGCGGGCCCGTGGGAAGGGAGGACTCACTCAGAGCCAGGGCCGGGCCCGGCGGGAGGACTCGCTCAGAGCCAGGGCCGGGCCCGGCGGGAGGACTCGCTCAGAGCCAGGGCCGGGCCCGGCGGGAGGACTCGCTCAGAGCCAGGGCCGGGCCCGGCGGGAGGACTCGCTCAGAGCCAGGGCCGGGCCCGGCGGGAGGACTCGCTCAGAGCCCAGGGCGGGGCCGGCGGGAGGGGAGGACTCGCTCAGAGCCAGGGCGGGGCCGGCGGGAGGACTCGCTCAGAGCCAGGGCCGGGCCGGCGGGAGGGGAGGACCCGCTCAGAGCCAGGGCCGGGCCCGGCGGGAGGACCCGCTCAGAGCCAGGGCCGGGCCCGGGGGGACCACGCGGAGCTGCCTCTGCACCCTCACAGCGCCGGGCCTGGGCTGGGCCCTGCGTGAATCAGCTGTCAATCCTCACTACAGCCCTGGCAAGCATGTCACTCATTACTGCACCCATTTTGCAAATGAAGAAACTGAGGCTCAGGACACAGGCACCAGGGGGGTGAGGACATGAGGGGGTGGGAGGGCGATGGGGGGATAAGGACACATATGTAACACCTTAACCAATAGAGAAAGAGAAAGAGAGAGGGGGGCTCAGAGGGTAAGCAGGTGACTTGCTACTCAACATAACAGCAAAAGGATGTGATTAGGAGTCTGTCTAACTCTTAAGCCCACCCAGGAAGTAGGAGGCCAGATACACACACACACACACACACACACACACGCTCAGCAAGTAAGAGGGAATGCGAGGACCGGTTGGGGTGCTTGAGGCAGTGCTGAAGGGGGCCCCCCAGTGGAGACCAGGCGGATGGCAGGGCGAGGCTGCCTTCTCCCCAGCACCTGCTTCTCAGCTTGGCTCCGGGGGACCCTGTGGCCCAGGCCCGGCCGAAGGATGCCTCACAGCCCCCAGCTGCCCCCAGCGACTGGCTGGGGTCAGAGGGCAAGTGGCCGAGGCGTGTGGGTCACAACCATACCGAGCACCACCCGAGGGCGCTCCAGAAGCGATGGCACAGGGCGCCCTCCGGGGCGCGGACCTGGGAGGGGAAAGCCTGAGCAAACATGCCCAGCCCGCAGCCCCAGGCCAGCTGAACGGGAGGAGAGGTCGTGGAGGAGGGGCAGGGTCACTGGGGCTCGCTCTGGAGCTGGGGGCTAACAGGAGGCACCCCCCCCCCCGAGCCCACAGGCCACCGGCCGCAGGGCCAAGCTCTCCCAGCGGCTCTCCCTGGAGCCCCGGCCCCCCGCCCGGGCGGGGGTGGCCCCATTCCCCAGAGGAGGACACGGAGACTCAGAGGCGGTGAGAAATCACCCACATTCTGACAACAAAAGTCATCAAACACCGGGGGACGTAATGTGCAGGGGAGGGGCCTCACTCCTCCTCCTCCCCGTGGGATGGACAGCCCCTGGGCTGGGAGGGAGAACGGCCTCAGGCTCCTCAGCCCCAGAACCCGAGGCCGAGTTACACCGCGGGGAGCTGAGGGGGCAGGTGGGTTCAGTGTGCGGATTAGCTGCCCTGGAGAGAGAGAGAGAGAGAGAGAGAGAGAGAGAGAGAGAGGAGCCGTCTGGACTCGCCAGGTGGGCCCAATGCCCTCATCAGGAAGAGAGGGAGGCGGGAGGGTCAGTGGAAAAAAAACGGTGGAAAAAAACAAACAACAACAAACAAACCTAAACTAAACCGAAAACCGGATCTTCCCTCGGAGCCTCCGCAAGGACCGAGCCCCCCAGTGCCCTGGTTTGAGCCCCGTGAGCCCCACGTTAAGACTTCTGCCGGCCAAAACTGTAAAAAAAAAAAAAAACCCGGGAAACGTGTGGTTTTGAAGCCCCTGTGTCTGTGGTCCTTCGGTGGGAGTGGGCGACAGGAAACACACACCCCCCTTTTCACAGGAACGGAAACTGAGGCGCAGAGTGGCCGCGTGCTTACCTGTGACGAGTGCCGGGCAGGATGGATCCGGACAACCTTTGTCCCCGCGGCCTCCTCAGCCTCAGCCTCAGCCTCAGCCTCGGCCTCGGAGGGCCCGGCGGCCGGGGGGGGGGGACCTGTGAGGTCACACTGCGGGGTCTGAGCCCAGGCTGCCGGCCTGCCGCCTCCTTCCGCCCGGTGCAGCGCTGGCTCATCACGGAGGTTTGGGGAAGGGGGAGGGATAGGGCCGGAGCGGAGCACGAGGCTCTGGATGCTGCTGGCCGTGCCCACCTGCTCTTCCTCTGGGAATAGATGCGGGAGCCAGGGCGGGGCGGGGAGGGGGAGGGGGAGAGAACAGGACAAACACCAGACTGAGGCCTGGGGCGTGGAGCTTCCTGGGCGGAAGGCAGGGAGGGCGGCAGCCTGGGCAGGAGCAGCGGGGCGGGCGAGGGGGGGCACGGGGCAGAGGGATCCAGGAACGGAGACTGGCTGACGGTGTGTGTCCCTCCCGTCTGGGATGTTGGGGAGGTGCCAGTAAGAAGACTCAGTGACGTCTGAGCTAAAGTTACTTCTAGGCGACACCTATTAGGATGGCTACTTTTATTTTATTTTTTTATTGATTTTTTACAGAGAGGAAGGGAGAGAGATCGAGAGCTAGAAACGTCGATGAGAGAGAAACATCGACCAGCTGCCTCCTGCACACCCCCCACTGGGGATGTGTCCGCAACCAAGGTACATGCCCCTGACCGGAATGGAACCCGGGACCTTTCCGTCCGCAGGCCGACGCTCTACCCACTGAGCCACACCGGCTTCGGCAGGGTGGCTACTTTTAAAAAGAAAAAGCTTGGCTCCAGGGTTGAGTGTTGGCCTGTGAACCAGGAGGTCACAGTCTGATTCCCAGTCAAGGGCACGTACCCAGATTGCAGGTTCAATCCCCAGGGTGGGGCCTGCGGGAGGCAGTCGATCAGCGATTCTGTCTCATCACCGATGTTTCTCTCTCGCACGCCCTCTCCCTTCTCTGAAATCAAATTAAAAAAAAATTTTTTTTAAAGAAAAAGTCCAGGAAGCAAGGGTTGGTGGGGATGAAGCCGGAAGCCTGTGTGCTGACGGTGGGATGTAAGATGGCAAGCTCAGGGTCGGGGAGAGGAATCGCTCGGCGAGGCAGGCTGCCCTCGCTGATCCAGATATTGAGTCAAGGCCAAAGTGCTTCCTTTAAAAAATAATTTATTCCACACGTCCGGCGGCAGGTTCCTCCGTCCTGCCCCTGGGAGGCAGCTAGTCGTCACGGGTCTCTCCCCGCAGAACCGAGGGGCGTCCCCGACACAGAAACTCGGTTCCCAGAGCAGCACGGGCCCCCCTCCCTGGCCTCGGGGTGGCGTGATCCATCCGTCTCCCCTCGCCGCTCCACGCCAGCGATGTCATCAGCTGGTGACCAGACTATTTTTTAAAAAAACTCAAGACAGCCTCAAGCATCTGGCGTGCAGGGGCTTCCCTTTGTCCTCCAAATTGGCCAGGCGTCCCGCTGGATGTTCTCAAACTGCCCGTCACTGCAGTGGGGGCGGCCAACTCTCCCCCCAGGCCCTCCCTCCGTGGCCAGCCCCCGGACGGACGGACGGACGGACGGGTGAGGCCGGAGGGCTGGCCTGGCGGGCGCTGTGCAGCTGCAGGCTGTGCTGGTGGGCATGTCGCAAAGGCTCCCTGAGTGAATCGGCGAGGTGCTGTGGCCCGGGCCTGGGAGACCAGCAGCTCTGCCCCTCGGGCCGGATGCCCCGCGGACACCAAGGCACCAGAGGAGAGGCTGATGGTGACCTGAAGGGCCCCCCATGGGGTGGCGGCCATCCCAGTGGTAACACCTGTGAGCAGGCAGGCTGAGAGTTTGGGGGGCTCTCCGCTGCCGCTGCAGTCCCAGCAGGGCAGGAGGGCACCGGGAAAGGGTGGCCAGTCCCGGGTGGGAGGGGGGGCCCATCAAGGCTGGTCCTTGTCCTCAGAGGGAGGGGCGGGCAGTAGAGATCACCATGTGTCCGGGACCTTCCCCCTGGGCAGTTCCGTTAGTTTTCATCTCCTTTCCCCACATGGGATCTCTGCCCCTGAGCGCTAAGCACGGCCTGCCGACGGGCCATCTCTAGCGACTCACTAGGGGACGTCAGGGAACAAGATTCCATTTTATTCTCTTAATAAAAACCACGGGTACCCTCGCCCGGGCGGCTGCACAGTCTCCAAACAGCATCGTTACAAAAATAGGTTTCTCTTCTTCGTCTTGTCTCTTCCTTTCTTTCCTTGGCCTCTGTGTTCTGCTGAAATGCAGATGTTTACAGCAAGAGCCGGTGTCCGAGTAAAAAAATAAGATCCCATGATCTGATATAAAACGACCCCGGAAGGGAAGGAAGCTCGGGCTCTGGGGTTCCATTCATTCAGTGATGCAGCAAACAGGTCTTCAGAGACAAACACTTCCCCACAACGGGGAGGAGGCGCGTGCCGCCGGGAGGGGGCGCTCCTGAGCGGTTTATTGGGACAGGAGTGAGCTGGGAGCCAGCAGCCCTGCAGGAATGCCGGGAACTTTCCGTTTTAAGAAGCAAACGCCCGTGGCCCTGGCAGGGGCCTGCGGCCGGCGGGCCGGTGCGGTTCCTCTTGCCCGTGGTGCTGCGAGCGGCCAGCGGCCAGCGCTCAGGTGGAGGCCGGGCTGTCCATGGTGGACAGGAGGTGAGCGACCTGGGCCCGCTGGGCCGGGCTGATGTGCTCGCTCATGTACATCATGCAGTCCACAGCCACCTCGGGGTTGTCTTGGACCAGGCTGCAGGGGGCGGGAGAGAAGGGTTGGGGCCCTAAGAATCGCTGTGCAGGGCCACGTCACCTTCCTGGGTGGGCAAGAACCCCGGGCTCCCAACCTCTTCCTGCTGTGGTCGCCACGGGGGTGACGGGCCCGTAGGGGGCAGGAGAGGATATGGCCTGGGAGTCAGGCTGCCTCGAGGAACGACAGGGGACCCTACAGGGCCCTAGCTGTGTTACTGAGACCCGAACTTCAGCTTCATGCCCCAAACGGGGTCCCCCATGACCAACTTCCTTCCTCCCAGGGGACCCCATGAGAATGGGGGGAGCAAATCCTCCTGAAAGGCTGATACCGAATGGGAGCCAGCAGCCCAAGGCCTGAAGGTTCTCTGGCCGTGACCTTGGACAAGCCACTCACCCCCGGATGGTCTTGAGCACGGAATCCCGCTTCAGGTACTTGATGTTCTCACCGATGGTGGAGCGCAGGCCGTCGCCCGCCTGCCAGTGCTGCTCCAGCCACTGCACCACCATCTGGTTGTTGTCCCACAGGTAGGCCTGGGGGGGCAGAGGCTGCCTCAGAGGGGGCCCGGGCTGCGCAGGCCCACCAGCGCCCGCCCGCCCGCCCGCCCGCCGCCCCCGCCTGGCCCACCTTGACGGCGCCCTCCGTCTCCACGAACCAGCGGCGCAGCATGGACTGGATGTGCACGTGGCTGAGCTCGCCGCTGACCTGCAGGATTTCCTTCTTCACCTGCTCCTCCAGCAGCAGGCGGCGCAGGCGCCAGTACAGGAAGGTGCGTGAGGTCCTCCACTCCAGCACGTCCTGCGGACGGACCCCGGCTGAGCCCCCGCTGCCCGGGATCACGCCCATTTCACAGGCCGGGAAGCTGAGGCCCGGGGAGGGGAAGGCACCCGCCCGAGCAGCGGCAAAGGCAGGACTCTGCCAGGACACTGGACGGGCTTCCCAGAGGCAGGGGGTAGCAGGTGACTGACTATGGGACATCCACTTGGGGGTGGGGCCATGGGGCGGGGTTACGATGGCCAGAGGTGGGTGAACCCCGGGCAGAAACCACGCTTCCCACATCTGGCTCGGCAGGTACAGCCACACAGACTGGCGGTCCCAAACCTCCCTGCCCGTTCAAATCGCTTGGGGATTTGGGGGGGAAATACTGATGTCGGACTCCCCCTGCTGAAGTCCTGATTTAACTGGTCTGGACACGGCTCCGGGATGCCCAGGTGAGGCTGGCAGGCAGGGCTTGAGCCCAGCTCTCCCCCGAGCGGAGCCCAGTGGCTTACGGAGATGACCCCCTTCTCCAGCATCCTGCCCGGTGTGTCGTGGAGGTCGGCGAACTGCACCGCCACCTGGTGGTAGATGGGCAGCAGCAGCTCCTCGCGGGCCTTCAGCTGGCACTCCAGGTCCCTGCGCTCCTTGTCGGAGAGATCAGACGCTCCTGGGGGGGCCGGGGCACAGACCGGAGTTTGCAGGTCAGGCCTGGGCGCAGGAGGCCCGAGCTCTAACTGGGATCGCGCCCCCAAATCAAGCGGCTCCTGCAGGGTCAGAAGCACCCCCACAGTGGCGAGGGGGGGCCGACTTGCTACATGTGAACATTGAAAATATCTCCCGAGTTTGAAGCTGTTTGGGGAGGTCTCCACCAACAGAGGGGGCCCTGACCGCGGGGGTGGCGCCCGGGGACCCTCGCACCTAACCGCTCCACAAGCTTCTTGTACGTCAGGTCGATCCTCCTCATGGCCTTTATCAGGTCCTTCTTCCGGAACTTAATCTCCACGGTTCCCTCCGGCTCCAGGACGCCCCCCCTGAGGAAAAAAGAGGTGGGGTTATAAAAGTTGGCAAAATACAGCCCCTACAGGAACTCAAGAGCTTTGGGAGAGACTCCGCGTTCAGTGAGAACCAGAGGACTGGTCATATTTCCCTTTTCATCCTGGCTGCCAGGGAGCTCAGGTGCTTTTGGTCCTTCCTCACTTGACTGCAAACTTCCTTGGGGAGCAGAGGAGTGTGAGCTAAGAAAGCACAGACAATTCCTCCACCGCCTCTCTGCTTCAGCCACTTGCTCTACTGAGAAAAACCCAACTGGACACTGGACACGAGTTTCAGGTTAAACCGGAAGCGCTCGGTCCTTCAGAGTGTCAGAGCGCCCCGAGACCCCACGCCAGTGGCTGAAAGCGAGAACCTGGGCGGGCTGGGCCGGCGGAGGGGGCGCCCACCTGCTCTCCTTGTCCGCGTACATCTCTATGCACAGGGGGTTGATGGTGGAGTCCAGGACCACCCAGGAGCCGCCGCGGAGCTCCGCGCAGGGCGGGATGTAAATGAGGATGGGCTGGCGGTACTGCCGCAGGCCGTCCACGATGTAGGCGCCGAACTTCAGCACCTGGTCGTACATGTCTGAAAGCAAGCGACAGCCTGAGGCGCGCCGGCCCGGGCGCATCCCAGGCGCAGCGTGTTGTCCTGGGGGCCTGGGGAAGCGTGTTCGCCCGGGAGGCTGCCCGGCTCTGGGAGAAGAGCTGGGCTCAGAGTCAGGACCGGCCCGGGCACGGGGGCTCGACCATCGGTGGTTGTTTTAAAAATATATATTTTTATTGATTTCAGAGAGGAAGGGATACGGAGAGAGAGAGAGAAACATCGATGATGAGAGAGAACCATTGACCAGCTGCCTCCTGCACGCCCCACAATGGGGATCCAGCCTGCACCCCAGCCATGCACCCGACTGGGAATTGAACTGTGACCTCCTGGTTCATAGGTCAACACTCAACCACTGAGCCACTCTGTTCACTCTCGGCGTGACCTCAGGCAAGCCCCACCAGGAACCCTGTTTCCCATCTGTGAAATGGGCTGTTTCCACAACTGCTCCCATTCGCAGGATTGGGGGCGGGGGGGCCTCAGCAAAGACGACGATGGGACCATGCACAGAAAACACCGTGTCGCCACCCCGAGGGGGTCCCGGGTGCTGGCCCGGCGGGTCCAGGGCCCACGGGGAGGCTGCCTCACCTTTCATGCCCCCAGAGAAGCCCCTCCAGTTGGCAAAGATCATCAGGGGCAGCTTCTCCTGGTTGAAGTCCTTGATGACCTGGGCCGTCTTGTAGGCGGAGTCCGGGAACCACACCTGGCCCGCCTGCTGGGTGATCTGCACAGAGCCAGCCCGTGAGACTGCGCAGGGGCGGCCTCAACGGGGGACGGCGGGCACCAGCTCCCGAGCCAGGCTCCCAGGGAGGGCACCCCCCACTGCAGCCCAAAGAGGCCCTCTGCCCATTTACAGGCTCAGAGCCCGGTCCTAGGACCCGGCCTCTGGCTCCTGAGCTCCTCCCAGAGGCCCAACCCTGGAACTTCACCCGGGATGGGCGAGAGGCGGGGGGACCCTCTGCCATCCCTGAGGAAGAGGAAGCTGGTGTGGAAGGCTCTCCACCACAGAGAGGGGAATGGGGAAATGGCACTGAGGCCCAGGCCGTCTCCTCTGAGTCTGAGCTGGAGAGGCAGGTTCACAACCACCTGGGCCCACACCTGTGGCTGGGCCGTCGAAACAGCAGCCCCAGCCCCCCTCTCCCCGCCCCCCCGGCCTCACCTTGGCCTCGGAATCCAGGTTGGCGGGGTCTGCGGGCACCACCATCTCCACCGTCCGCGTCTCCACGGCGATCACACCCACAGGGATGCCCCCCAGCCTGCGGGGCGAAGCACAGGTGAGCCCGGTGCAGGCACCCTGGTCCAGACACCAGTCGCACCGGGGAAGCCGAGGGCACGAGGCCTAGAGGAGCTGGCGCAGGGGATGCCGTGACGGCTGCCCCGTCACCCGGACCCGGCTGCCCCGTGACACCGGTTACTCTTTCCTGTCGCCCAACGACCCCAGGAGGCAGGCGAGGGGAGAGCGAGCTTCCAATAAAGGAAGGGCTCCTGAGACTGCCTCCGGTTCTAAAGGAAGTTTGTACAACGAAACCCTCACGGAGAAGCGTCTGGGGCCATCGCCGGCTCCGGAGGTCACTGCCGGCTGCCGGGAGCTGAGTAATAACAACGACCGGGACCCGCAGCAGCCGCGCCCGCTTACGGAGCTTTTACGACGTTTAAGTGCTGAGCGTAAGTGATTACTTCTCCTCGTCATCACAGCCTTCCGGAGGCAGGACCATCACCCCATTTTACAGATGGGGATTGAGAGCCGGGGAGGGAAGTGACGGAGCGGGGGCTGCACCAGGGCTGAGTCCCCGGCCTGGACGTGAGGCAGCGCCGTCGTGCAGGCGCCCGCGAGGTGGACGCTGAGGGCTCCATAAGGGAGGACTCCCCTGGGCCACCGGCGTTACCTAAGACGACGGCTCCGCCGGGGGAGTGAGCTGCTCGGCTCTGAGAGCAGCCACGCAGGTAAGCCTGTCACTAGCTACGCCAGACACCAGGATCCTGCCCTCCCGAAGCGGAGTCCAGTGTGAGCGTCTGTGTGGTTTTCCGGCGAGACTCCAGGGCCACCTCTGAGTCCCTACGGGGTCTGTGGCCCCGGGGCTGGAGCGCCCTGTCCCAGGGGTGGACGAGGGGCAAGGAGCCCAGCCCCCAGCCAGAAGGCGCCCGAGACAGACAAATCTAGACTTTATGACGGAGCTCATCGTCCAGAAAACCATCCACCGGGTTAAGTCTTCCCTTTGGAAAATCTGGGGCCACAAAGAGTGTTGCTGGGGCCCCTGTTCCGGCACCCGGGAGACCCCAGGCCCGTGAGGCCAGGGCTGGGCGCCTGCCCGCCCTCAGGTTACCTTGCGCGTCCCGTCACCACGGTCTGGGCCCAGGGCGCCAGGATCTCCTTGAAGCTGCCCTGGTCGAAGAATCCACTCTGCCAGGTCCCCTTCAGAGCTATGGGCAGAAGGCAGGAGCCCGGGCTGAGGGGCCGGGCGGGCGAGGACCCCCAGGGCCCGCTGGAGAGGGTGGACTGTTCTATGGTTTCTCTAAGGACCCCTCAGCCAAAAAGCCTTTTTCCCAGGAACATGGCATAGATCCCAACCCCTTGCAAAGAAATAAACAAATAAATAATACAAATTTTAAAATTAAAATAAAAAAACAGACAGGCTTGCAAAATGTATACCAAGTCAGGAATTCAGTTCACGGATATCTGATCACATCAATCCCCCGTCAATTCCCAACACAGAGAGGCCTCCTCCCAGCTCTGCTGCTTCCCAGGAGGCAAACAGCTGAGGGGCCTTCAGGGGGTGGCTGTCAGAAAGGGACCATCTGCCCCGAAAAACTCATCCGTGACACCCAACCTGCTGGCTGTAGCTTAATAACACTGAACCTCCCGTTTAACAGAGTAATGTGTTCAGTTTCCGAGAGAGAGAGAGAGAGAGAGAGAGAGAGAGAGAGAGAGAGAGAAAGAGAGATATGACGTGTCGGCTGCGGCTCCTGGAGGGGAGGGAGTGTGACCACACCCCGGGTATAAGAAGCACAGGCCGCGGGAGGGTCTCGGGTTGCAGGTGTGGGAACAAGGCGGCCCCAGGTCAAGGTCAGCCCAGGCCTGGCCCAGCCAGACGGAGAAAGAGAAAACCATCAGCAAGAAGCGGGGCATTTTTACATCAAGATGAAGCCAGCCCCCTCCGGGCCCCAGGTGAGAAGGGCCGGCAGAAACGGGGGAGGGGGAGCCAGCTCGGGGCTTCTGGCCGGCACCGGCAGGGGCGAGCGGCCGGAGGCTAAAGGTGCAGCCTGTGAAAGCCGAGACTCAGGAGCTCGGCTTTCCTGTCCTGTTCTGGGCGCTCAGAGTGTAATCATATCCTCCAGGGACAGACCTGCTGCTTTCGCAGAGGGAGAGAATATGTGTGTGCAAGTGCATGGGCTAACAAGTGTGCACACGAGGATCTGCATGTGTGTGTGCATGTATGTAGAAGAGGTGAAGTTGCCTGTCCTGGGTAAACTCACAGACAGCTCCACTGTGAAGGTTTAGCCAAAGAGAGAGCGAGAAAGAAAAAGGGAAGAAGGAGAGAAAGAAGGAGGGAAAGCAGAGAGGAGCAGTCCTCCAAATCCTGATGTGTCAGCCAGGACTCCGCACCTGGACAACCACGGGGCCGGGGAAGGGGGGGTCATGACCTCGTTGCCCTGCACCTCATCGCCACCCTCAGCCCAGAAACGGGGGCCGGTTCCATCCTCAGTCTGTCACTCAGGAAAGGCACGGAGGAAACCCCCATTCCTCCGCGCTCCCCGCAGGGAAGGAGACCGAGACCCAGGTCTCAGGCAGATGCCCGGGACTTACATCTCAGGCAGATGCCCGGGACTTACTTGGGTGAGACCTTCCTGCAAGCATCCACCGGGGGTCGTAGGGGGCTCTCGATGGGCAAAACTCGATCTCCCTGTCAATGGGGTCAGTGGGAGTGACGATGGGGACCGGGCTGTGATTATCCTGGAAAAGAAAGCGGGGTCTCCAACTCCGTTCCCCGGCTTGTCAGCAACGCCTGCGACCTGCCCCTTCGCTTCCCTCCTCTGGCCGTGACTACGGCTGGCCACCCAGCAGAAGCCGAACCCAAACGAGCTCATCTCTGCGATTCTGAGTAGCCTTTGCCGAGGGCCCACCAAGATCTGGGTTCCAAACGTCATTTCACTTAATCATCAGGGTAACACTCTGGGGGGTAGGAGCTATTGTTGTGCCCATTTCACAGATGAGGAAACTGAGGCTCAGTTGTCCCCAGGTCTGACTGCTACTGAGGGGGAAGCCAGGAATCAAATCTAGGCCAACCCCTTCTAAAGGATCAACCAATAGCAACATTGCCTTTTCTTTTTCAGGCCAAGAACAACGAGTACAGGGTTGGGTGCCAGGGAGGGAAGGAGGGAGGGAGGCAGGGAGGGATAAAGAAACATTCACCCGCCACACCCACAGGGCTCCCTGCTCCCCGTGCTCCCCACCACGCAGCCCATGGGCGCCATGGCAGTGCCAGCGCTGGGCGGCAGGGGGGCCGCACCTTGGGCATGTAGGACAGCCACTCCAGGATGGTGTAAACGCCCTCGAAGTCGTCGGGCACGGTGATGTGGGAGACGCCGTTGTTGTGCATGATCTGCACGCCGCCCAGCTGGTTGTTGGACGTGTAGACCTCTCTGCCCAGGACCTGCATAGACACGGCAGCGTCAGCCAGGTCCGGCCCGGCCCGGGCACCATCTCCCTTGGTGGTCTCACCAGGGGCTGCACGTTGGAATCACTGGGGGCTTTTACACACCCGGATGCCCGGGCTGCACGCGGTCCGATTACATTAGATTACAGGTCTAATTACATTAGAGCCTGTGGTGTTTTCTACCTTCTAGGTAATTCCAACATGCACCCAATTTGAGAAGCCGGGTCTCTTTGAGTACCTTGGTTACGGTTACTTATGATGACCGTGGTCATCTCAAAAGCAAAACCTGCCGACTGGCATGGCTCAGGGGTTGAGCATGGACCTATGAACCAGGAGGTCGAAGCTCCATTCCTGGCCAGGGTAGATACACTCCCGGGTTGCAGACTTGATCCCTAGCAGAGGGCATGCGGGAGGCAGCCCATCAACGATTCTCTCTCATCATCGATGTTTCTCTCTCTCTCCCTCTCCCTGCCTCTTTGAAATCAATACAAATAAAAAAAAAGGCAAAGCCCTCCCTCATGTTTCTGGCTCAGTGGGCTGGGACCGGGCCTGGGAACTGGCCTGAGGCTCTGTATCTCTCACCAGCCCCCAGGGGGCGCTGTGGCTGCTGGTTGGGGCGCACTGCACTGGGAGACCCTCAGAGGGATTTTAGCAACATTCTGTCATGGAAGCTTTGCAGCAGCCGGCAGTGCTGCCATGGGGTGAGCACACTGCACATTCCCTGACTTCACCACAGGAGGGCGGAGACGAGAGGGAAAGGCACCAGAATTAGGCGGGAGCGCAGTGACATGCGGGGCTTCTTCCGATTTTCTGCAAGATCTTACAAACGTGCATAACTTTTTAAATTAACTAATTTTTTGAAATTTAAATGTCAGGAATGTGGAGCCAAATCATCTTTTGGGAGAGTGGGGGTGGAGTGGGGGGAGTCATTCATAAGAGGCCCAGATATTTGCAAACTGGGAAACCAGCTCTCACACCCGCGGGGGCGATACCGGTCTCACACGGAGAAGACACGGAGGGGACGAGGGGACGGGAGCGGCCCGGCCCTTCGCGGCGGGTCACCTTGTTGAGGGCGCTGGCTCCGGTCAGGATGATGTGGGAGTTTTCCACCTGGATCACCCGCTGGCCCAGCCGCACCAGGTAGGCCCCGATGCCCAGGGCGCGGCAGGTCACCTGCGGAGACAGCCCCCTGAGTTCCCGAGGCTGCCGGCCCCAGAGGAGCCCGGTGGGCACCCACGGCAACCGGAGTCAGGGCCGAACGGCAGGGCGAAGCCTGACCTTGAGGCTCACGTGACCTTGGCTTCTCCAACCCAGGAGTAACCCAGTCAACCCTGAGGGGTGCTTCAGACAGGCCGCAGGCACGGAATGTTCTGGTTCTCCCTCCCAGGGCACGCGGGGAGCCCTTCTGAGCTGGGCCACACACAATCTCTCACAGCCGCTCCCACGACCAAAAGGACGTGTGAAACGGGACGTCCAAGCCGGGGCTGTGCCGGTGGGAGTGCCGTGCCACGGTCAATGTCCCGCCTGACAATGTGCTATCTCGTGTGAAAGATTCCATCCCGGGGGAGCTGAGGGAGAAGGGCACGGGACCTCTCTACACTAACTTGTAACTTCTGGGGAGTCCAACACTGTGTCTAAATAAATGAATGTGTATACACACACACAACTGACCTTTCAGCACAGGAGTTAGGAGAGCTAATCCCCACCCACCCCAATAAAACCAGTGAATAACTTCCAATCCCCCCAAAACAACTACTGATAAACTACTATTGTGTTACAGGCGTCAGGAGCTATATTGTTACAATAAAGTAAGCGAAAGTACCCTGGCCAGTGTGGTTCAGTGGACAGCCCCCGCGTTATCAGCTCTCTCCTTTTGTGTCTGTTTTAGACTTTCCCAAAGAAAAGGCGGAGGCTGGAGAGACAGTAAGGCCGGAGGAGGCTCACCATGCTGATGGTGACGATCTCGTCATAGGCCAGGGAGCACTCGCCTGCGATCATGCCCGAGCCCCTCAGGTTCTCCACGCCCAGGCCGTCGTCCTTCCCAATGATGTCCGTGATGACGTACCTGGAGAACCGGACAGGAGCTAAAACACTCGACGTGGTCCAGGGGAATCCGAGGCAGGAGGGGCAGGCAGGGGACAGAGCAGCCAGAGGCGAAACGAAAGCAGAGGCCTAGGACCTTCGTGATTGGCCCTAAAATTTCTAGAAGACCGTTAGAAGGCTGTCTTAACGAAATGTCATCCCCACCGGGCCGTCTTCCTGAAGCAATTGGATACCATTTGGTCTACGGAGAGATGGGGAAGCCACTGAGCTCACAACCAATCAATCAGACTGGCCACCTAAGGGTGAGAGGCTGCACTTCCTAACCTGCCCGAGAGTCACAGGCACTGGCACGTTAAAGACTTTGGGACGCCCTCAGGAAAGATACTTGTTAGATCTAACCCAGACCTACGTGATTATGGAAACTTCTCCTCCTTCCCACACATCACCAACTAACATTCCAGAAAATTCAGCCGGGGAAATTCTGATTTCGTCAATGTCACTAAAGCAGCAAAGAGGGTACCACTTTCTCTGGAAGAGACAGCCGGTAGCTGTGATGTTCAGGCGGAGCCGACCCCTGTCCTGCCCTCACCTCCCCAGCTTGCCCAATCACTGCCGCGTTGCTGGCTAATCTGATCCTATAATGTGAGCCTGCGGCTCTGAGGGACTTCACGGGACACTGACCCAGCTCCCCCTGTGTCATGTGTGATCTTTGTGAGGGGCCCGGCTTATCTGGGGATGACAGGAGGGGTTCACCTTAGAGAACACCCCAGGTGTTTAAGTCATCGGTGCCAAAGCTTAAGGGTCCCCCTGTGCACCCCCTCCCACCCTCTTGGAAATGCCGCCATAGCCGGAGGCGGAGGCAGACTCCCCAGGAGGAGCCGAATCAGCCCCAGGCCAACGGCGGGAGCCACCTGCCGAGTCACTCACCTGGATTCCCCTTCCTCCTCCACGTGTTTGCAGTGGACGGAGTTCAGGGAGCTGATCCGGGTGTACTCTTGGGGGGTCAGGTACAGGTACTTAAATCCCTTAAAAAAAAAAAAAAATATATATATATATATATATATATACACACACACACACACACACACACACACATATATACATGTGTACGTGTATACACACACACACACACACACACACACACACACACTCCAGTGAAACTATGAATCCATTTCCCTGCCCTTGGCAGCCACTGTTTTTAAAAACATGTCAACACTGTAGAATGGGTGTTAATAACATGTTAACATGTCAGTATGTTAACATGTCTGACGTTAACACCTTGCTGATAAGAGCTATAAACTGGGTTGTGCTAAGTGCTTGCCACCCCTCCTCCCCACATCGCCTCCCTCTCCCGGGTCCGGCTCTGTTTCCCAGGCATCTTCTCACTGGTGCTCCCCCAGGGAGGCTTTGAGACTGTTCTCCTTATTCCCAACCTCTCCCCGCACTGTATTATAGTACTGTGTGTGTGTTATGTTTTTCACATTAAAAATCATCTCCCCTCTTGTGTGTGTGTTGGGGGGGGGGGGTATGATTGCCCCTTCGATGTGCAGGCTGTGGTTGCAAAGGGGACTCTGTCCCCTGCCTTTTCATGCCATAAAGCGTGTGCTCTGCTCTCACTCATCTGGCCTTCAGTGTAGCCGGTGTCTGCACATCTCCCCACGACTTTTAACAAATCTCCGAGGCCAGGGACGATGTACTTTTCACCTCTGCATTCTGTGTTTGCTGCATTCAGGAGATACAGTACAGATCCTATATCTGTATATACATCTGCATTAGCTCAGGGTTCATAAACCTTTTTCATTACTGTCCCCCTAAGGAGCCTGCTTAGGCATGTTTTCCTAACGGCCACCCCCTCCCATGAAACTTAAAATATATATGTACATATATTTTGTTATTATTATTGATATTAGAGACGAAGGGAGAGGGAGAGGAAGAGGGAGAGATAGAAACATCAGTGATGAGAGACTCATGGATCGGCTGCCTCCTGCACGCCCCACACCGGGGATGGAGCCTGCAACCGGCCATGTGCCCTTGGCGGGGAGTCAAACCGTGACCTCCTGGTCCACAGGTCGAGGCTCAACCACTGAGCCCCGCCCAGCCGGGCTCCCATGAAACTTTAATACCGGCACCCTGTATGCCTGTGTATGTAGGGATTCTGTGCTCCATGCAGAAAGGGAGTCGGGAGACTTGTCTCGCCCGGGGGCCCTGCCCCTCCACTGGATACAGTGCCGGCCGAGCGGAAGGACATGGCCACCCCGCTCCGCCGTACCTTGAGGGGGTCCTCCGGGTCCACCCAGGCCACCTGGAACATGTGCTTGATCTCCTCGGCGAGGCCGATGCGCGCCCCGCTGTTGGCTGCCAGGTAGACCTGGGGGATGCCCTCGGCCCGGGCCAGCTGGGAGGCGCGCAGGTACAGGAGGTCCTCGCCCAGGCCGAAGGAGCCGATGCGGAAGGTGATGTCGTTGCTGATGAGCACCAGGCCCCGCCCCTGCGGGTACTCCCGGGTCTTCAGGCGCATTTTGAAGGCCACCATGCCCACCTGGTGACGACACAAACGCACGAGGGAAGCGGGGTGCGTCGGGGGGGGGGGAGGGGCGCTGGCGGGAAGGGCGGTCCCGGCCGGGCGCCGGGCGCCTCGGAGGCCTGACCTCGTTTCCTCCGGGCAGCCGGTTCATCTCCACCAGCTGGCCCCGCGGGTCCAGCACCAGCTCCGTGTACGTCAGCATGTCTTTGGGGCACTTGTCTGGGGAGCCCCACAGTTTAGAGAGAGCCTGGGGGTGGGGGGGGGGGGAAGAAAAGCCTGAGTCGCCAGGAGGGGAGGCGCATTTACTAGTTCTTTCTCTTTTTAAATCATGAGCTACTTTTTCTTTTTCTGTTTAAAAATTTTTTTTTATTGATTTCAGAGAGGAAGGGAGAGGGAGAGAGAGAGAAACATCAATGATGAGAAGCATTGATTGGCTGCCTCCTGCAGGCCCCCTACTGGGGATTGAGCCCACAACCCAGGCATGTACCCCAATTGGTAGTTGAACCATGACCTCCTTGTTCATAGGTTGATGCTCAACCACTGGACCACACTGGCCAATCATGAACTACTTTTAACACGCAGAACAATAAATCTCATGGTTTTATCAAATCGTAATTTTCCATAGTTGCTTACGATTTTCTTTTCAAATAAGATGCGGTGGGGCCCTTACTGTCCTCCTCTTCACCCCATCCCTGACCCTCCTCCCCACACCTCCCCACAGAGAATCATCACCCTGAGTTTAGTGTCTACCAGCCCTCTGCATGCTTGCACGTTTTTATTTCCTCATGTATGCCTACATTTAAACATGTAGTTGTCTTTTGCGTGACTTAAACTTTAAATAAGTGGTATCGCACTGCACACATCCTTCTGCAACTCACTTTCCCAGATTTTTTTCAGTAAATACTATGAATGCATTTTCTCTTCTCTGGCTTACTTTACTGTAAGAACACAGCATGTAATACAGGTAACATACAAAATAGGTGTTAACCAACTATGTTATTGTGTTGATTCTGGTCAACAGATTAGCAGCGAGGTTTTGGGGGAATCAAAAGCTAAGTGAGGATTTTCGGCCGCACCGGGGGTCGGCACCCCTAGCCCCTCATTGCTCACGGGTCACGTGTGACTTTCTTTCTCCCTGAGGAGACTTGCCTGCCGGAACATTTCCGGGAAGTCGTACACGTAGGTGGTCCCCAGGGACTGGGCCTGGAAGCGCTTGGCCTGCAGCAGGTCCTTGGTGACGTAGGGAGTGTTGATGAGCATCCCGTGCTGGGCTCCCTGCTTGTTGCCAAAGGAGTGAAACATGATCTGGACCAGAAAGGAGGAGAAACCGGGCATGAGGGAGGCACGTCCTCAGTGACATCCCAGACATCCCGGCGCGGGGAGCAAACCACGTCACACGACAGAGCGAGTGCCGGCATTGCTAATCTCTCCTCTGCCACAGCCAGCACAGGAGGGCCGGCGGCAGAAGTGGAACAGCCCCCAGAATGTGACTATTATAGTACCACATGCATACACACACACGCACATGCACATGCACACACACACACAAACAAGAGGGCCTCAAAATGGACGAAATACAAAGGAAGTCCGAATTTGGGTTAGCACCACTGAGCCCGGGCCAGTTTCCTAGTTTGGCAAGGTCCTGCGGTTACGTGCGATGCTCCCTCTGGGAAAGTGGGTGAAAGTACATGGGAACGTTCCGTGCTACTTATTTCTCTGTGTTATCTCTGCACTTAGCTCTCTGTATAATTATTCTGGAGAGTAATTGTTTCCAAACGAAAAGTCAGCTGGTATCCTAAAAGTGGGATATTTGATTCACTTTGCAAACGTCTGTTCTAAAGCACGGCTGTGGAAAACACCTCCGTCCCTAAGGGAAGCGATGTGGGGGCTGCGGTGTAACCACCCAGGGCCCCCCACACCCGATCCCGAAGGTGGTGCTAAAATGGATTAAACACGGAACCCCTGTCCTTCCCAGGGGAATGAACGTGGGGGACCCAGAGGCCACCCCGTTTATCATCAGAGCTCGGAGGGGCTGCCGGGTCCGCCGTGGCCGACGAGGCGGCCACCGAGTGCGTCTCCCTCCACGTCCCGGGGAGGGGCAGCCTGCCTCCGCCCCGACCTCGGGACCCCCCTCCCCGGCCTTACGTTTCCGGATCTGGGGTCGGTGACCTCCTTGTAGAGGCTGATGTCCAGGTAGTAGCCGGACTCGTTGGTGATGAACAGGCGGATGGGGATGGCGCTGTCGGCGGCCGTCTCGCGGATGTTGATCTTGACCTCGGCCTGGAGCACGCGCAGCTTCCACAGCCGGCTGCCGTAGCGCATGACCATGGAGCGCACGGCCTCCTCGATCTGCCGGGTCACAGCGAGCCCCGCGTCAGAGCCCAGCGGCAGGCACCCCCGGCAGCTCTGCACTGACAGCAATGAGGGAGGACACGCCGAGGGCACGGTGCCCGGGCACAGCGTAGCCACACCTGCGGGTGCTATTGATTGGTTGCCTCCTGCACCAACCCCAACCAGGAGGGGAGAAGCCTGCAACTGAGCCCTTGCCCGGACTCGAACCCGGGACCCTTTGGTCCACAGGCCGATGCTCTATCCACTGAGCAACACTGGCTAGGGCAGCGCCGGCATTTTTATCCCCCATTTAGATGAAGACACGGAGACTGGTGACCAACAGCTCGTGCTCCTTTGGGACACCACCTGTATCCCATCATGCATCTCAAGCCCCCACATCTTCTCTGCTGGGAAGTGGGGGGACGGGTGGAGCAGGGGCACCTGCATGGGCCCTCTCCACCCCACAGATACCAGGACTTCTTTCATCCCACGATCACCACCCTACACCCTGCCTGCTCATGAAGAGAGAGCCAGCGGGTCCCCAGCAGAGCCCGGACCAGGGCACAGAACACCCTTTTGTTTTGCAAGACCTTTGGGGCATCCGTGTGGACCTCAAAGTGAGGCATGCTCACGGAGGGTGAACGCGGGACAGGGCCGGGCCGGGCTGGTGGCTCTAGAGTCAGCGGTGCAGGGTGTGTCTTCCACCTGCAGGCCGGAGGCTCGGGCATGCACATGCGCGTCCTGTCACTTGGTCTCGAGTGCCAGGAGGTGGTGCCCGGGGCAGCCTGGCACGAAGAGCCACGGGTCCCCGGGAACTGAGCCCGAGCGGGCGAGGGCCCCGGACAGACCTTGTAGGGGTCCATGATGACGGTGGGCACGAAGTTGAGGAAGATGTGGTTGCAGTCGGTGCGCACGCTGGTGTTGTTGAAGGCCACCTCCAGCTCGTCCATGGCCTCCAGCAGCAGCCGCTCGCCCTCGTTCTGCAGGTACTCGAAGGAGGCCTCCTGCCAGGAGGGGGCAGCATGAGGCACAGCAGAGCCCCCTCGAAGGCCAAGGGCTGACAAAGGCTGTGTGCCCAGGGCCCCCCGAGTCTCCCCTCCAGGCCCAGGGTCCCCCGAGCTCCCCCTCCAGGCCCAGGGCCCCCCCGAGTTCCCCCTCCAGGCCCAGGGCCCCCCGAGTCCCCCCTCCAGGCCCGGGAACCCCCTGCGATCCCGTGAGGTCCGGGGCCGGCACAGAGCAGGACAGCAGGGGGAGGGCGGGCGCCGGAGCGACGGGCTCAGGGGAAGGAGGAAACCCCGAGCCGCGGTACCTTGGTGATCAGGTCCGAGTGGCGGATGATGGCGCGGATGAAGAAGCGGTAGTCGGTCACCTCCACGCCCTCCTTCACCTTGGCGGCGCCCAGGTAGAGGTGCATCTTGTGGTTGGCACAGGGCACGGCCGTCACGTCGAAGTTGCGCATCCGGCTGAGCTCCAGCTGGAAGGCCAGTGCGGGCTCCAGGTGGCGGTAAATGCGATCTTCTGCGAACTGCAGGCCGACGGGGAGAGGACGGACGGACACACAGACACACAGACACACAGACACACAGCGAGTTGGACGCTGGACCGTGACCCTGCTTGGTCCACACTCTGCCCCGCAGTCCGCTCGTGTCTGTGGGTTTGGCCCTTGAAATGCACGGTCACTATGTTGTCTCATTGTGAGCAACCCCCCGGGCTCGAGAGGGCTGGGACTTTGCCAGAGGACACGCCAGGCTGGCATGCGGGCAGGAGGCTCCCAGGGAGCCCAGCTCGCTCCCAGCACCTGCCGCACAGCCGGGCAGTCCCTCTCGGCACGGGACAGAGTATTTCTCAAGAAGCCACTGGCGCTGAGTTTCCTAATGGAAATTCACCCTCAAAAGGAAGCATCTGATGGTGCTGGAGACTAGTTCCCGGCCGGCGTGACTCAGTGGTTGAACGTCGGCCGAGGGGTCCCGGGTTTGATTCCCGTCAAGGGCATGTGCCTCGGGGGCAGGCTCCTCCCCGGCCTGGGCCTTGGTAGGGGCTGGTGCAGGAGGCAACCAATCGATGTGTTTCTTTCACATCCATGTTTCTCTTAGACTTTTTCTCTCTGTCTAACTCTCACTAAAAATCAAGGATTAAAAAAAAAAAGAGAGAAGAAAAGTGGGTTGGGAAGACCACCTTTCTGAGTCCACATGACAGAGGGACCTGCAGTGAAGGCTGAAGGGCGGGACTCGAGGTCTGAGCTCCACATGGAAATTCGGGGCTCCCCGTGGGAATATCCCAGAGGAAGGGGAGTCTGCATGAAAGCTGCTATGTTCTAGAGCACGGGGATATCTTAAGGTCTGGGACTGTTTTCTGAAAGTCAGAGGTGCCAGGGAGAGAGAACGCATCGCTGCTTTTGGTCATACCTGGTCTCTTGCTCTGAAGGTGAAAAACTTGGGGAATTCTTTCTGCAAAAGAGAAATACACACAGAAGACGGTTACATCCAGCAGGACCCGTGTCCACACACGTGTGCTTGTTAAGGGTGACCCCATCGGCTTCTGGGGCGCGTCATTTGAAAGGCCGTCCTCCCCGGCGCCCCATCTCCTCCGCCCCGACCGGCAGCATCAAGGTCAAGGGCGCGGCTCCGGGTCGTGGAGGGGGAGGAAACTCAGGGGGCGCTGAGCATCCACTCACCTCCTGCGCGATCAGGAAGGTGATTCTTCGGAGCCCGTACTCCACCAGGATGTTTTTCTGCGTGAAAAAACAAACACACGATGGAATGGAGAAGCCACAACATGGGATGGAGACGTCCTGATACGTGTTACCACGTGAGTTAGCCTTGAAAACATGATGCTGGGAAAGACACAGGTCACAGAAAACCTCAGACTGTACGATCCCATTCACATGAAATGTCCAGAATAGGCAAATCCGTGGTCGGAGAGGAGATAAGCCAAGCCAGGAAGGTCAAGAACTAGCAGCCAGACAGTGTGGCTGGTAGATGTGATTGTATGTGAGCTAAGAATCTTAGCATCCAAGATGGGGATACTAAGTATGGGTCAGAGTGGTACAGTAACCTGCCTGAGGTCACACAGCACCTTCCCACTGTTTCTCCGACCTGCACCTGCCAAGCTGCTCCACATCTGCTTGCAGCTGAGGCCCCTGAGCATACATAACAAGCGTCCCTACTGCCAGGGTGTGGCTGGCAATGGTCACCACGTTTATAAAAGCAGCCTGCGGTTACCTGCACTCACAGATGTCAATGCACGTGACCGTCTCAAAACTGTGACTTCTCTGGGCTATCCCAGCACACACGCCACCAAACCCACAACTACATGCCGAATGTGCTGCTGTGCTGAGTGGTGTTTTACGCCTGTCACTCCGCCACTGCACGGGCTAAGTGCACAGACTTTGTCATTTCATCATGGCAATGCCGGGAGAGAGAAACGCCACCCGTGTTACGGGGAAGAAGCCGAGGCTCTGCCCCGTTCGGCCACCGCTGCCCACGGTCACGGCCGTGGGGAGCGGCAGAGCTCGGGGGAGCAGCCAGCTCTGCGGCTCTGAGACACTCAGCAGGTCCGGGGCCCGCCCTCCTCCCCGGGAGCCGGAGCCGCAGGCACACGCAGGCACCTTGGACTGCACGAAGGTCCGCAGGATGGGCACCAGCTCCTCGTCCTCCAGGTGCTCGGCGCACTCGATGGCCACGTTCAGGATGTGGATGGGCTCCTCTCGGAGGCTCTAGGAGGGAACGGGCGGCGTCAGGGGCCTGGGCCCGGCCTGCCCGCCCCCGCCCGCCCCCGCTCAGGCACTCACCTTGCAGTCCTCCTCAGAGTACACGGAGGTCTGGGCCTTGCTGAAGAGGGGGGCGTCCCGGGGCACGTTGGCGAAGCAGGAGATGACGTCATCGAAGTTCCTGGGGGCGCGGGACAGGGGGGGGGGCTGAGGGGCTGCTCTGCCTCGGCCGGGGGCCAGGCCTGAGTCCTCCCTTCTCCCTCCGGCCACTCTGCGGGCTCACTGGGTTCCTGACCAGGCCCAAGGCACCCGGACGGGGTCTCTCCCAAGAGGTAAGAACAAGCCCATGTGATCTGGGATCCCAAACAAAAGGAAGGCTGTCTGAACTCCGGGGCTCCCTTTTACCCGCCGCCTGAGTCCACCGAGGACAACAGAAGTCATCACTAGCTCCTAGTGCCGGAGTGAAGACACACATGACCCAAGCACGAGGCGTAACGCGCAGGAAAGGGTTAAAAAGGGCAGTAACTGGAGTAGAACTGACCACCGACACTTATTACGTTATTTACATGTCAGTGATGCTTTAAATACAATATTAAAATGTGCTATCTCATTTCATTTTCAGTTCCTTTGCTCATTCCCATTATACAGATGGGAGAACTAAGGCACAAAAAGGCCAGCAGTTAGGTCCGAGCCACAGGAAGCGCAGAGCCACGCTCTTGGCTACAATATTATTAAACTGTGATTATTAATTTGTTGTGCGCTATGATTGGGCCGCCCCACCCCATGTGTCCCATGAACAGAGGGGAGTCAGAGGCAGCTGCCGCGGCCCCTCGGGGGGCGGGGGGGAGTGTCGGGGAGACACCCGGGTACCTGGTGAACTCCTCGAACCTCCTGAAGGCCACCATGGCGCCCATCCGCTGGCACAGCGGGGAGAAGCCGCTGTCCATGTAGAGCTCGGTGCTGTGTCTCAGCAGGTCGGGGTTGGTGATGCTGACGGGCACGGCTATCCTGCAGGGGGACGGCCGGGGCGGGGGGGGGGGTGAGGCCGGGGGCATCAAATTGGAGGCGGAGGGGACTGAGGTCAGGGCCAGGGCTGAGGACTAGGAGCTCAACAAGTGCCCGAATGAACGAATGAATAAACGAATGAACGAATGAGTAAATGAATGAAGCACGAAGAGGAGCGTAGTCCCAACAGGGTCCCCAGCTAAACCCAAAGCAGCGAACTCAGCCAAACGGAAGGAACACTCTCGGGCCAGTTTCTCCGGGAGTGTCCCAGGCCCGGAAGGCCGGGGAGGGGCAGGCTCGGTTCCAGAGACGCCGCGGCCTCCGCTGCCTGACTCCGCGTACCGGTTGGGGTGGGAGGAGGGCAGCATGAACTGGAACTCCACCACGCAGGTGCCGTCCGGGAGCTGCCGGTGCTGCAGGCTGTTGAGCTCGTAGGCGATGTAGCCCCTCCGCACGTACACCTAGAGGGAGCACAGAGGGTGCCGTCTCAGGGCAGCGCCTTCGGAGCCCGAGGCAATCCGGGCTGGAGAAGCGGCCTCTGGATCATCTCTGCGCCGTCGTTAAGAGCAGCCCTGCCCACATTTCAGAATGTTACCTTCTCTGCAAAGGGTTGGATGGTAAATACTTCAACGGGATATATCATCTGTATCACAACCTATGCTACCACAGACGATATGTCAATGAATGGATGTGGCTGTTCCAATAAAACTTTATTTATAAAAACAAGCAGGGGGCCGGGTGTGGCCCGCAGGCTATCGTTGACCAACTCCTGCTCTAGATCAGTCCTGTCCAATAGAAATGGAACACAAGCCACGCATACAATTTTAAACCACTTAATAAAAAGGTATCAGATCAATAGAACTTGAATAACTTTATTTCATCCATAACACCTAAAATATCACTATTTCAACAGGTAATCAATATAAAAAGTTATTGGTTACATCTGGGAATTTAGACTTGGGGAAATTTCCCACTGTGCCTGATACAAACAGTTTATGGCACCTAAAGTGTGCAAACTATATGATTTATGTTCAACATGTGCTTTCTTTCTGGGAGCTTGGAATGCTGGTATGTGCTAGCCAGATGGTGCCTAGGTGACCGGTGCCCAGTAAGAGCCTGGATGCCGAGTTTAATGGTTCCCTGGGTGGAGGAAGCAGGGATGGAACACGAGACAGCAGAGGTTGCCAGCAAGATCTCTGGACAAGGGCAGACCTAGTGTGAACCCTCGTCCTGCCACTTCCCCGCTGTGTGACTTCGAGCAAGTTGCTTCGCCTCTCTGAGCCTCAGTTTCTCCTCTGTAAAATGGAAATAGTAACGGACTACCTTGTTGGTAGAATATGATCACGTCTGTAAGGTGTGTGGCCGGGGTCAGCTGTGTGGATGCTGGAACTGGCCGTGCGGGACCGTGTGGTCCGAGGGGCCGCTCCCGCTTACCTCCAAGGACGCCATGCAGACCACCTTGTTGACGTGATAGAAGAAAGTGGGCAGGACGTCAAAGATGGTCGTCTCCGAGAGTATTAATTTCTGCAGGAAATGGTGAGGGGAAGAGAGAAAAAGTAAACCTGAATAAATTTAACCAACACTCGGATGTGTGGGAGGGGAGGGAGCAGGGAGGAGAAGCTGGTGGTGGTATCGCCAAGCACCCCAGTGCCCCAGGCCCCTAAGATCTGATTGTGGGAGCAGCTGAGCTGACTGCACGGGCTCCCAGATGCAGAGGGCAACCCTGGAAGCTTGTCAATGAGCGGAGTAGGGGGTCAGGGAGCCCCGGGGAGATAAAGCCGGACTCAGCCACGTGAGGCTGGCAGCTTCCAAGGCTCCACCGCATCCTTCCAGGGCAGCCCTGTGGCCTGAGCCCCCGCAGCCCCTTGGGCAGCCCGGGCCGCGCTGGCCTACACCGCTGGCATCTGTGGCTGTGCCCGGCGCTGAGGGCTACGAGCCCGCCTCCCCCAGCCCCCCCGGAGCCAGGGCCTTGCTCTGTGGAGGGTGGGGGGATGCAGACAGCCTCACCTTGAGGTTTTCCGGGCAGAACTGGTGGCCGTACCTGTCGACGGCAGACAGGAAAATGGACTCCACCTGGTTGTGCCTCAGCTCATAGGAGGGGAGGTGGGAGGCGATGAGGACCTGTGGGGAGGGATGAGGGGCCGGGGTGAGCCGCCCTCACAGGGGAGGAGCCAGGGGCCGGGCCGTCGGGCAGCAAGGGGCTGGGCACGTGGGGGCGCAGCACGGCGGGAGGACGGCGCCCCACAGCCCTACCTGCCTGGCCCTGAGGGCCACTTTGCAGTGCTCGGTCTTGCTGAGCTGCGTGAGCTCGCTGAGGATGGAGGTCAGCTCCTCCGACAGGGAAGGGTCTGGGCTACAGAGCTCGTCCTTCGGGGGAGGAAACAGAATCCAGGTGGCGTTTGTCCGGCAGACGGAAACGTGCCCGCACCGTCCTCAGCCGGGGTGTGGCTGCCCCGGGAAACCACAGAGCCGCCCGGCCTCTGAGGAAAACCTGGCACAGCCCGAGGCACGTCCCCTCCCCTTCCCACCATCACCCTGGCCGTTCCCTCACCGCCCCAAACACACCCTAACCACCCGGTAAGCCCGAGCCTGCAGCACCACCGATGGCCAACAGTGATGGGTGCTTCCTGTGGCCAGGCAAGCAGCCAGGCCCTTGGCATTCATCTCCCCAAATTCCCCCAACCCTTTGAGGAGCCGCCAGCAGGATCCCCATTTTACAGATGAGGAAACTGAGGTCAGAGAAGCAATATGTCAGCAGTGCCTGGCACACAGCAGGTGCTGGCTATGAGCCCCCAGGGGCTGACCGTACGACTATGAGTTCCCACAGTGCACAGAGGCAGCTGTGAGCGCCCGGCCTGAGACCGTATGGCCTGCAAGACCTAAACGACTTCCTCTCTGGCCTTCCTGGAAAACCCCCGCAGACCTCCGCCGGGGGGGCGGGGGGAGAACGGGGGCGCCCTCCCCCACGTACGATGAGCATGATCACCAGCTGGTTCTTCTTGGCCACCTGCGCGTGGGAGAAGATGCAGTGCAGCACCTGCGCCATGTCGGGCTTCAGCTGCTCCCGCAGGTTGATCACGCACTTGTCGTAGTGGGCTGCGGGGACAGAGGCCACGGGGTCAGGCTCCCGCCCGCCCGCCCGCCCCGGGGCCTTCGCCAGGGCCGGCCGCGCTTGCCTTGTTGGAAGTGGTGCTCCACTTGCAGGTACCGTTTCAGGAGGTCCAGCACCACGGCCTTCATGTAGCCGCGGGTCCCGCTGCGGTATCTGGGGGGGAAGGGAGGCACCTCGGTGAGCCACTCGCCCTCTTGGCGCCTGGAGAGCCACAGGCAGGGCTTTTGGGACCTCAGAGCACGTGGGGGATGCAGCCCCGGGATCCTGAGGCCTGGGAGGGAGGGATGCGCAAGTTGGGTCATTTGCATGAACTGCAGGGCAGAGAGAGCAGTGACTTGCCCAAGGCCACACGTCACACCAGAGGTCACGCCCGAGCCTTTGGGTGGTCCCCAGAGAGAAGGAAACACACTTACAGAGTTGGGATGCTGAAAGGGGTCAGCCTTGCATGCATGGGTGAAAAGAAAAATTTCCCATTAACCATCCACCGTGTAAAGACAGTTTGGAAAAAAGCAAGACTTGAAAGGCATTTGCCCAACGATCTGTGTCAATTTCGCTTCCGTGTGAAACCGAATGGTAACTGGACGTTCCCGAGAACTTCCCTCAGTCACACCGAACACAGGGAACGCCGCTTCTCGGGAGGTTTAGAGAAGCTGCAACCAGCTTAACCCCAGCATCACCCAGTAACAACAGAAGAGAAGAACCGATAACGCTCGTTTATTCAAATGTGATTTTAGACCTGCACAACATGGCTCGGGCTGGGCGGCTCAGCTGGTTGAGCATCGTCCTGTGCTCCAAAAGGCCACTGGTTCGATTCCCAGTCATGGCTAATACCCAGGTTTCAGGTTCAATCCCCCAGTTGAGGCACGTATGGGAGACAACGAATTGATGTTTCTATCTCACATCGATTTTTTTTTTCCTCTCTCTCTCATCTCCCACCCTCCCCTCCTATCTCAAAAAAAAATAATAATAATGAAAACATATCCTTGGATAAGGATAAAAATAATAATTAATTTAAAAAATTAATCCACTTAGAATGACTTACTGTGCATGAGGTGGTTTTATTCCCATTTTATAAACAGGCAAACAGATCCACAGAGGTCAGGTGCCGGGCCTGGGGTTCCGCCGTTAGGAATGGCTGTGCCAGGACTGTCATCCGGACCCTATGTGCTATCTCCCAGGAAGAGCCTGGCCCTCAGAGAACCCCACAGCACCACCCGGTGTGACAGGGGACGCCTCAGAGTGACACGTGCACCCACGCCAGGCCCGGGTCTCACCTCTGGACCAGCTGCACGATGCTCTGTGTGTTCATGAAGAACACTTCCCGGTCGGCCTTCCGCTGCAGCGTGGCTGCGTGGCAGTCCAGGATGTTGGCTATCTGGTCGGGAGAGAGGACGGGTCTGGCCACTCACAGCCACACAATCCGGTCGCCACCAGAAGTCGCCGCAAGGACCGACCCCAGACCCCCCTGGAAGACCGGTCTGAGGCTCATGAGGAAAAAGAGAATTCAAGCCCCACAGCCCTCTGGCCACCCAGAAACAGCTCTGCCCATCCGCTCAGTGTAAGGCTCAAGGAATTCAAGAGCCCAGAATGGCCCATCGGTGTGGCTCAGGCGCAAGGAAATCTCAGTTGCATTCCCCTTCAGGGCACATGCCCAGTTGCAGCTCTGACTCCAGTGGAGGGCAGGCAGGAGGCAGCTGATCGATGATGATTCTCTCTCATCATTGATGTTTCTATCTCTCGCTCCCTCTCCATTTTTAACAAATGCCACACATACTCAAAGCTGCAAGATTGACACCTTTCAGGGAGGAGAATCCAAGCTACAAACTAGCAAGAAAAACTCACAACCTCCTCTATCACTTCAGCCAGCATCTCTGGAAAACGCTCACTGTGTACCAACAGCGTGCTCCTTGTCTGCTGCCCGGGGGGATGCTGGGATTCTACAGGGAGGGCTCGGCCCCCACCATCTCGGGCCGAGCATGGGTTTCACGACACTCGACTCCATCAGAGGGCAGAAGCCCAGCCCAAACGGGAGCCGGGGCACCCGGGCGGGGCTGGGCGGGGGCACCCACCTGCTGGCTGGGGAACTGGCAGAGCACAGAGGTGATGTTGCTGGCGTACTGGGCCATCACCCTGCGGACCGACTTCTCCACGGGGGCGGGGATGCGGCCCGACACGTTGGTCATGATGTCCTGCAGCTCCAGCAGCGGCAGCGACGGGTGCCGCAGGGTCATCATGAGCTTCTGCACCCACTCCTTCAGCTGCGGCGGGACCACAGCGTCGGCCCGGGTCCCGAGGGCGGGCACCGCCACCCACCACGCGGCACCCAACACGCTCCACCCCTCCCAGCCCCACACACTCCAGCGGCCGGAGACCTGGACCCAGCAGACTCTGGGGCAGTCCGGAGTGGAAGGAAGGGGCCCCTGACCACAGGGGACACCCAGTTCTCCCTCAGGGAAGGTCCCACCGCCCCTGCAGGCACCCGCACAGCCAGCACGGTGTGAGGATAAAACACACGGCCGTGAGCCCGGCTGGTGTGGCTCAGAGGTTGAGTTTATCAACCTATAAACTAGGATTTCTGGTCAGGGCACATGCCTGGGTGGAAGGCTGGATCCCCGGTAGGGGGCGTGCAGGAGGCAGCTGATTGATGATGTTTCTGTCTCATTGATGTTTCTTTCTTTCTTTCTATCCCTCTCCCCTCCTCTCTCTCTAAAAATCAATAAAAATACTTTTAAAAAATAAAAGAGTGACCCACACTGACTCCTTTCTTAACTGACTACCTGAACAGTCTCAGTGTGGAGCTGAATTAAACCCAAAATACCACCTGTCACATTGACAACAGTCTGTACAGTCAGACAGAGGTTCCCCGATGTGGACAATCAAACCGAGGCTGACCAGGAATCCATCGAGCCCTCTGACCTCAGGGAGCAAATCCTTCTAGCTCATCACACGGACCCACACGCGTGTGGACTGCGCACGCCCCTCACACGAGACCTGCCTTTATGCTGAAGATGGGCTCGGGCAGGCAGTAGCCGCTCATGACGTTGGTGAGGTTCTCCAGGACGCTGTGGAAGACCTGGTTCAGCTTCTCCCCCATGAGGGGCAGCGTCTGCTGGGCGGGGAGCTCCCCTGTGAACGGCTTGGCCTGAAGAGACACAAGGAGAACCCGAGGTCAAGGGCACCGTGGCCTCCCGACCGAGACAAGCGGGGCCGAGGCAGACCTGCCGATGTGCTAGCCACACGGACAGTGTGCCTTTTTCACATTGATTTTCTCTCTCTCTCTCCCCTTCCTCCCTTTCCATCCACTCTCTCTAAAGGAAAAAAAAAAAAAAAAAATCAATGAAGAAAATATCCTCATGTGAGGATTAACAACAATAAAACGTTTCTAGCTTCTTTCCTGGGCACATGTACTGACAGTCGTAGAGGAAAGAGCAATCCACACATGAATGATGAGCACGGCTTACTGAACAGTCAGCAAGACCTGCTTCTTCTGGGTACCCTGTGCCCGGAGCACGTCTGCGGGAAAGCTCGAGATAGGGAGGAGGGGGCCCCGGAAAGCATCTGGGGAGGCCCTCCCGGAAGGGGGTGCAGGTCCCAGGCGGGGGTCTGGTCTATGTAAGCAGGGGGAGCGCGAGAGAGACTGACGCCAGAGGCAGTGGGGACAGCTGGTTTGGGGTTAGCAGGTCCACAGAAGAACTGGTTTTTTCTGAGTGAGACCCGGCTGCTGAGAGGGGGTGAGCAGAGGAGGCATGTGTGCTCCTCTTGTGCTGGCTTCGGGGGACCCGGGGGGCAGGAGACGAGCCGGGAGCCCCGGGTCTGCTCGGCTCACTGGCCAGGCGGGAGCCGCCTGGGCCTGGGGGCGGCCGTGCCGGGCGCCACGTACCGGGTGCACCTTGGACGGGTCATCAAGCTCCAGCCTGGCCACCACGCAGCCCACCTCCAGCACGGCCCCCGGGCGCTTGATGTACTTCACCCGGCCGCTCTCCTGCACGGTCAGGGTCATGATCATCTTCATCACCTGTTTTACAGCAGAAAGAAGACCCGAGATGGGGCCCGCCAGGGCCGGCCAGTGTGAGTGACACCCAGATCCTTCAGAACGGGTAACTCCGGGGCGGGGCCCGCGGCACGGAAACGGAATGACGCCCTTAAGTGTTGGCTTAAGACTTGGTAACGGCCACCATCACTACCATGCATCTGTTCCTGCTCATTCCCAGGGAGTGTGCATTTCTGCCTTCAATACTGCAGGGATCCGGGCTGAGCCCGCACACTGGCCCTTAGGCATTGGCAGCTGGTGGGCCAGGCTAAGAGGGGAGGCCCGTTTGCAGAAGCCACGGCCCTCCCTCGGGGAGCGGGCATAGGTGCGGCCTTGCTGACCCAGGGGCCTGCTCTGTGCTCACCTCCATCTCGGCGTAGCTGTCCCCGGCCTCCACGTGGCCCCCGTCCTCCACCGTGTACTGCGTCAGCTTCCCAGCCGAGGGCGACCGCAGCACCGTGGGGTCGTTCTCCTTCTCGAACACGCACGTCTTGTTGCCGATGGTGATGCGGTAACTGGGGGTGGGTGGGGGGGGTGGCGTCAGGCCTGCTGCAGCCTCTCTCCCCGAGGCAGCCCCGAAGGTCCCTCGCCCCGTGCACAGTCAGGGGCTCCCCTTCCCCAAAGGGTGGCACGTGACGGTCCCCACACGAGGATGAGGAGCCAGCTGGGGGAGCAGAGCCCGCCCCGCCCGCTCGGGGCCGCCCCACCTGTCCACTTCCTCCTTCATGTAGGTGGTGTAGCTGTTGCCGTCGTAGGACAGCAGGAGGCCGCCGTCGTTGAGCCGGTGGGCGTCGATCTCGATGTGGCCGCCGTTCATGATGAGGACGAAGATGGTCAGCGACTGCCGGGCCACCTGCGGGGCAGGAGCGGCGACCCGCCTGCACCAGGATGTCGCTTGTCCCCGGGCCCCCAACCAGCAGCCGCCCTGCCCCCGACCAGGAGCCAGAGCCGTGTCCACTGGGGGAGAGCCCATGGACGCCTCGCCTGTCTGGTCCTGGGTCCCGATCGCCCGGAGGGAGAAGCTGACGGGCACGGAGCCTGGAGGAAGCCTACCACACCGGCCTGTGGGGGGCTCATGGTCGCTGGCCAGGGGCACGGTCCCACCGGCCATCTCTCACCTCCTTCCGCTGCCAGCCTCCGAGCATCCGCCCCCGCAGGGCCGCCCGGGCAGCAGGGAGACGGGGCCCAGGGTTGTGCCTACCACACGTGGCTCTGCCCAGGGGCATATGGGGGACCTGGGACTCCAGAAACCCGGGCCGTTACCTTGAGAATATACTTAACGCCTCCGTAAATCAGTTCCACGTCCACCGTGTTCAGCAAGAAATCCGCAGGCAGGACCTGGCCCCTGAGAGAGAAGACAGATCGGCGGTCAGCCTTGTTCCCACTGAGAATCTGCGGCCAGGTCCCAGGACTGCGGCCAGCGCGCCTGGCTGTCCTAAACAAAGCTCCGTCTCATTAAAAGGCGAGCAAACAAGGACCGTCCCCGGGAAGCCGGCATTCCTCAGAACGTAAGGAAACAGCGTTTCTGAGGGAGGTGGACTCTCCAAAGGGCTTTGCGGGAAGCTAACCCATCCTGGCTTCCTCTCAGATCTTTCTGTGTTGGACCTCCCGCTGCCCGCTTACGAGAGAAACCACCACGCGGACTGTAATTCCACCTCCATTCAAAAGCATGATGACCGAGCACTAGAAACCTTTGTCCTTTCATTTCTCTCGGGGAGTTTGATTGGCTGATCACAGTGATTCTCCACCGGGGTCCAATTCCGCCTCTCCCCCCGGGACAGCAGGCACCCGGCCCTCCCGTGCCCACCCGTGTCACCAGGCACCTGCTGCTTCAGGTGAGGGGGGCGGGGGGAGGGGTTCATACGTCTCCCGGTGGCTGGTCTGCACCCAGATAACGCACCATCTGCCTCACTTGCCTCTAACGCACACCCCAAAGGGGGGAAAGTGGCCCACGCGCCCACCTCTCCAGCGAGTGCAGGAAGTCCGTCATGCAGGTTCTGAACATCGCGTCGGCCACGTTCAAGGCGCCACACACCACCCCGAGCATGATATCCGGCTTCTCGGCCTAGGAAAGACCCCGCAATTCGGTATCTGTGGTAACCAAGCCCCCTCCTCCCCCCCCCCGCGCCCCCGGGAGCTGCGAGGGAGGGTTCCCGGTGACGGGAGGGGAGACGTGGGCAGCCCCTCACCTGCACTTTCTCGGCGATGAGGTGGTCCAGCCAGCCGGTGTCGATGTCGTTGTTCTGGAAGCTCTCGGTCTCCAGGAGGTTGATGAGGTACTCCACGGTGGTCCTGAAGTCGCCCCGGATGGACAGCTCCTTCAAGGCCACCACCATGTTCCTGGAGGGGGAGAGGCACCGGACTGTTCTCCCATTTCGCCCCCGGGGCTCCCCGCGGCTCCCCAGGAGCCAGAACAGCACAGAAGTCAGGAGGGTCCCGAGTCAGGCACCCTGGGTCCATCTCGGCTCAGCACTGACTGGCCGGGTGACCGTGGGCTCAGTTTCCTCATCTGGAAAATGGGGGAATAACCCGACTTCACACGGGCACTGCGGACGACAGCGAGACCAGCCACGTGAAGCACCCAGTCACCGATCAGTCACTGTCACCTGCTACGAACAGGACTCATGGCCATGATTCCAATTCTAACTCACCGCAGCCGGGCGCTCTGCCTTGGCCCCGCTGGACCTGTTCAAACCCCGGTCCCGGGCATGAGACAAGCCCGGCCACTGCATCTGAAGTGGCTGCGACAGTGGCTCCTTCCCCGCCCTGTTCATTCTTATTTGCCGAATCCTCTCTCACCTTCAAGGGTCTCCATTTTTTGCTGAGCATGATGAAAACTAATTATTCTGCCTGGCCTGGGTGGCTCAGTGGTTGAATGCTGGCCTATTAACCAGGGGGTCACCATTCAGTTCCCAGTCAGGGTATGGACTTGATCCCCAGTAGGGTGTGTGCTGGAGGCAGCGGATCAATGATTCTCTCTCATCACTGATGTTTCTGTCTCTCTCCCTGTCCCTTCCTCTCTGAAATCAATAAAATAATTCTTTAAAAAAAAAAAACAAACACTAATTATTCAAAGCTGGTAAAGAAAGCCTGCTCCCTCATCAAAACCACCAAACTCAATTTAATTCAAGGCTTAAGTGCCGGGCCAGATGGATTTTAATGATTTCTAAATAAAATGTCCAAACGGCTTTGGGATTTTTCACTCTGAGGGACACTTACCCACAGACAGACTGTTGAATTACAATTGAACTGGGGTTTTTTTTGTTTTTTTTTTTACCTTTTTGTCCCCAGGTCAAGGCAGAAAAAAAGATAAGATGTGTCTCAGAATTTGGGGGCCTCCTTTTGAATGAAGGTTTTTCCAGTAACTATTTATGAGACTGAAATTTAAAGGTGTTCCCCAGAGACATACACACCTTCTTTAAAAGAACTAGAGTATGGTCCTAACCAGTTTGGCTCAGTGGATAGAGCGTCGGCCTGCGGACTGAAAGGTCTCAGGTTCGATTCCGGTCAAGGGCATGTAGCTTGGATGCGGGCACATCCCCAGTGGGAGGTGTGCAGAAAGCAGCTGATTGATGTTTCTCTCTCATCAATGTTTCTAACTCTCTCTCCCTCTCCATTCTTCCATATAAAAGTATATTTTAAAAAAACTAGAGTCCTCCGCACCTTTTAATCTTTGGAATCACCTGGAATGACCTTTGGATCTCCTGCAAGTTCGACCTGCAATCAGCTCAAGAGCCATGACCTTGGAGAGGTCACCTTACTTCAAGGACCTCAAACCCAAGGAAGGGGCCGGACTCTGTCCTTGGACTTCGGCACAGGGCACCAATCGGGGCCCTTGATCTCCTAACTCACTACTGCACCTGGAGCCCCAGGCCAACCCTGAGATTCTTAAAGGAAGAGAGGGATGGAAGGAGGGGAGAAGGAAGGAAGAAGAGAGGGAGAAAGGGAGGGAAGGAAGAAGGGAGGAGGCAGGGAGGGAGATACTGACGAGATGGCCTCTTCCCGGTTCTCTCCCCAGGAGAAGCAGTGTCCGAACTGGGAGTCGGCAAACTCGTGCAGGCCACCGGTGGCCGCCACGCTGAAATAGCCCCACACGTTCCTGCTGCTGCGGAAATTCAGCTCCTGGACTGTCCCTGAGCTCGGCTTGAACCCCTGCAGCCCAGACGAAAGAGAAAAAGCAACAAGGAAGAATCACGGCTCCAGATCTATTTCCATCAGAACTAAACCCTAGGAAAACCCAACAGGCCTGCCACACCCAAAACTCAGCGCGATCCAGGACACACTGACACCCCTCCTCAGGGCTGTGGGTCTGGACACTGGCCCGGGGGGTGCTGTGTGAGCATGTCGGTGCATGTGATGTTTACTTTACATAAACTATTTACAAAACAACAACAGCCCGGCTGGCGTGGCTCAGTGGCTGAGCATCGACCTATGAACCAAGAGGTCATGGTTCGATTCCCGATCAGAGCACATGCCCGGGTTGCAGGCTCCATCCCCAGAGTGGGGCGTGCAGGAGACAGCAAATCAGTGATTCTCTGTCATCACTGATGTTTCTATCTCTCTTTCCTTCTCTCTACCTCTCTGAAATCAATAAAAATATTTTAAAATATTTTTAAAAAAACAACCCCACCAGACATAATGTGGGAGAACAGTGATCATGGATGGATCTGAGTGAAGGTACATTCTGATTATATACTCTTTTTTTAAAAATTTTTTTTAATTAAATTATTATCTTTGTACATATACCATTGCCCACCCCCTCCCATACATGCCCTCCCTCTGACTTTATACTCTTGGCACTGTCGACAGCAAAGGCTTAAATGAAAGAGGACTGGGTTTCCAATTCTGGATGACGACGATGCCAGCAGATAAGGAAACCCAGCGTTAGCCTGCTGCTGCCGGCACACGAGTTCCCTTGGGGGCTGGCCTGCCCCTGAGTGTAACTTTGGTAAAGTGGGGGAGGGGGATCTGGACTCTCTCTCTGGGATTAAGGCTCTTGAAGTGAGTGATGGAGACATACGTCTTGGCAGAGGTGCCTGGAGGCGAGAGACCAAGTTCCAGGCGCCCAGGCAAGTCACCCCAACCTCTTGATCTGTAATTTGGGGTAACACCCCTCGGCGGAACGTGAGCCGTGAGACCCATGAAGGGGGTCTGCCTGGCACGCACTCCGCGTCACTGAACCATGAGTGTCTCCTCCTGCACCTCAGTTTCCTCGTCTGTGAACCAAGAAGCCTGGGGCGCTCCTCTGAGGCTGATGCTGGGTGCCCCCCACCCTGGGAGAGTGGAGATGGCGGAGGCCCTGGGGCCCCCACAACTTGCCTCATCAGGGTTTTCGCTGGTGATTCTGGCCGCGATGACGTGGCCGCGGGCGAGGGGCGGGTTGGGGGGCGTTTCGAAGGCGATGGGCGTCACCCCCCACGGCGACTCTCCGTACAGCAGGCGGATGTCCTTCAGCCGGTGCAGCGGCACGCCCATGGCGATCTGGAACCGGGAGAGCCAGCGCCACGGTCAGTCCCACGGGACCCCGCCCCAACACCACGCACGGAGCGGGCACTGGAGGACGAGGCGCAGTGCGCGATGTCAGGTGCACCGAGCGCCTGAGATGCTCTCCACAAAATGCCGGACGGTGGCAGGAGCAGCGGAGGAAGAAGATATTAATTTTAAAAAACTGCGATCCAACGAATGTGGGCGTCCCTGCGGCTGGTCACAAGTTCTCAACGGGGGGGATGCTGCCCCCACGGGGACAAATACCTGCTCTTGGAGGTGAAAAACATCTTACTCTGTGTATGTGTAAAGCACAGATGCATCTATCATTCTGTGACATTAAGATCTCATTGGGGAAGTTGGGGGGGATAATATCTAAGAAGGCTCCTTAGGGGGGACCATAATGCAAAAAAAGGTTAAGAAACACTCCTCCAGCCCTGGCCGGTTTGGCTCAGTGGTTGAGCATCGACCTGAAGACCAAAGGGTCCCAGGTTTGATTCCGGTCAAGGGCACATGGGTTGCAGGCTCTGTCCCCAGTGGGGGGCGTGCAGGAGGCAGCCGATCAATGATTCTCTCTCATCATTGATGTTTCTATCTCCCTCTCCCTTCCTCTGAAATCAATAAAAATATATTTAAAAAAAGAAAGAAACACTTCTCTGGGCCTTTAAATGGGCACACGGGTCCACAAAGGCCTGAAATTGCATACAATGTACTTTTCCAGGAGAAGGTCCATGACTTTTGCCCGTTATTCAAAGGACCATATGGCAGACAGAGGCGATCAACCACATCCCGAACCTTCCCCGCGCTGGCGGCTCTCAGTGCTACTCCCCACGGACAGTGGGTCCAGAGGGGCCGGGGGTGTGATCCGGGCGGAACGGGGGCCCATTCCGGGGCGGGAGAAGGCCCGGCCCGCGCCGTCTCCTCACCTGCAGCTGGGCGGCCGGCAGGTTGACGTCGGCGATCATCTCCGTACAGGGATGTTCCACCTGCAGCCGGGGGTTCAGCTCCAGGAAGTGGAAGCTGCCGTCCTCGCTGTACAGGTACTCCACCGTCCCCGCGCTCACGTAGCCCACAGTCTTGGCCAGGCGGACGGCGCACTGCGAGGCACAGAGACTGCTTCTCAGTCCCCCACCACAGGCAGACGGAGGACTGCTCTGGGTCCATTCCTTGGGGACCACACAGCTCATGCTCCCATCGACTGGCTGAGATCACGTCCCCGAGGGGCCCCGGGCACCCAGCCCACGTTAGCACCTCGGACACGGCGAGCTCTCGCTGGCTCTGAGCTGGGACGCCCCCCACCCCCCGCCCCCTAGGTTGCCCTCACACCCAGCCCCGCAGAGCCCACCTGCTCCATGAACTCGAACACGACTGGGGTGGCGATGGTGGCAGGCGCCTCCTCGATGATCTTCTGATGGCGCCGCTGGATGGAGCAGTCGCGCCCGAACAGGGACACGGCGTTGCCGTACTGGTCGGCGAGGATCTGCACCTCCAGGTGCCGGGCGCGCTGGGCCAGCTTCATGAGGAAGACGGGGGAGCCCGGGATCTCGCTCTGCACCTGCAGGGAAGGCAGAGCCGCAGAGACCAGAGTCGGTGGCAGTGACATCCATGGTCCTCTGGTCTCATGTAACATGTTCAAAACATGACATTCTCGGTGTTTTACATCCTACGGTGCGAAAATACATAACGCAGACAGTGACATTTCCCACAACCCCATCTCCTACAGACAATGTGCTGCTAAGAGTTGGGGACAAACTGGTTAAGAGTTTCAGGTGCTGCTAACAGTTAAAGGGGTTGAGAATTAGTGCTGCTATGGTGTCCGACGGGTCTGACACCTATCAGGGTGATCACTTCATCAATCACATAAATGTCTAATGACTATGTTGTAACCTGAAACTAATATAATATTGTACACCAACTATAACTGAAAGTATTTATTTATTTATTTTTATTTTTTTAGGGTTAGGGTTAGGGGTTAGGGTTAGGATTAGGGTTCTGAAAAGATTTTTTCAAAGATATATTTTATTTTATTGATTTCTTACAGAGAGGAAGGGAGAGGGATAGAGAGTTAGAAACATCGATGAGGGAGAAACATCAATCAGCTGCCTCCTGCACACCCCCCACTGGGGATGTGCCTACAGTCAAAAATCTGCTTAAAATTTTTATTTTGTTTCGGGCTCGATCCCCAGTGCAAGGCCTAGAGGAGGCAGCCGATCAATGATTCTCTCTCATCACTGATGTTCCTCTGTCCCTCTCCCTCTTCTTTTCTTTCTGAAATCAACACAAATATACTTAAACCGTTTAAAGAGAAGAAGAAAGATCTGCTGGCAGCACACGAGCAGAGACCGTTCCCGAAGACGGAAAGCCGCGCAGGCGCGCTCACCTGCCGGAACAGGATGGGGAAGTCCTCGGCGCTCTCCGCCTTCCGGATCCCTTTCCCGCCGCCGCCTTCGGAAGCTTTGATCATCAGCGGGAAGCCGATCTGTTCTGCTGCCTGGGAGGCAGAGGGCACACGGCCCCCTTTAGAAGTTAGATATGTCCCCCGCCATCAGGACAGGGGGGTGTCCCGGCACCCGGTGCCCCCCAGGCCCTGGCTTACCTGCAAGCCCTCCTCTACGTCCTTCACACAGCCCTGGCTGTACACGTCTTCCGGGACCCTGATCCTCTTCCCCTCCTGCAGACAGTCCTCTGCCCACTCCACCGTCAGGCCTGGAGAATCGCAAAGGAAGCGGAATGGTGCACGGACGGCAGGGCACACACAACACAGAGACCGCAAGGCCCTGACTCGCCAGAGCTGCTCTAGGCCTGGCCTCCGGGCCAGCGGAACACGGACACAGTCCTTCAGCTTAGTTACTGAATGGCTTTCCATTTTCTTAAGAACCGACTCAACCCTGAATGGGAAATCAAGCTTAAGAAATTCAGACTGATCCCTGGAGGGACAGAGCATCGGCCTGCAGACCGAAGGGTCCCATGTTCAGTTTTGGTCAAGGCCACATACCAGGGTTGTCAGCGGAATCGCCAGCCCTGGTCGGGGCACAGGTGGGAGGCAACCATTCTATGGGTCTCTCTCACATCGATGTTTCTCTCTCTGTCTCTCCCGCTCCCTTCCATTCTCTCTAAAAATCAACTGAAACATAGCCTCAGTTGAGGATTAAAAAACAACAAAAAATTCAGACCGAATGCCACATTAACCTGAATCTTCAAAAAATCCCAGTTCCACCCTATGGAGTCATTAATATGTGAATCATCATTTTCCAATACCCTAGGAAGGTTTAAAAAAAAAAAAAAAAGAAAAAAGAAAAAAAACATTTCCCGTCCCAAATTTAAAATTCTATCTTTAGAAGAAAAAAATCAAATTGAACAGAAAAGTCCTAAGACTTTTTTCCTGTTTATTTTTATATAAAAATATATCTTAGAAACCCCACTGTAAGAAATGTATTCCAAGGAAATGGTTAAAACATACACAGAGATTTAAACTAGAAGTGATCAAGCCTCCGTGGCTGTTAGTGGTTTTTAAGTTAGAACAAAATAAACTGGAAACATCCTAACCGGCGCTAACTGTATAACTAGAGAGGACTGTTAAGTAAATCATGGTACCTCTCTCTGTGTGACATAATCCTAGGCAGGCATTTTAAATGTTGCAAAATATATTTATTGACAGAGAAAGATTAGAGAGAAAAATAAATCCCAAACTAGCAAATATAAACTCTCTGGGTTTTTTAAAGGATGTGCTTAGAAAAAAGGCTGGGAAGGTAGACAGACACCTAAAATGCAACAAGTGTTCAACCCGGAGCCATAGGATTATAAACGATTTCTATTTCTTTTCTGCACGTGTCATATTTATTTTCTAAGTTGTCTACAATGCAACTGTGCCGCGTGTTCAGTAATCTTAAATTTGTAAATGAAAGCGTTAGGACGCACACTCTGCCACCCCCTCTGTTCACGTGAGCAGCATGGGCCAAGGCGGCCCCGTGTGTAGCTTGGGGTCCCTTACCGCTCCCGCTCCAGGGCAGGGTTGGAATCTGCAGCGTCTGGGCCACGATGGTGGAGGCGATCTTGTCTCCCAGGGCCCACATGGCCTCGCTGGGAGGGCCTACGGGATGAGAGGTAAAAGGGGGAGGAGAACGGAGTCAGCCACAAGCCCCTCACCGTGAGGGCTGACCGAGTGCTCAGGGAGAGAACCATGCCCGGGGCCAAACTCTCAAGGAGTTTAAGGTCAAGTCAAGGGAACAAACAGTCTGTTCATCTGCTCTGTCGTCAGTCACCTTTCCGCACACGTGGACTGTGTGCCTGGTCTGAGCTGTAACCTAAACTGCAGGCCACACACAAAATTCACTTTGGAGGCGGTGGGGGGGGAGCAGCCAGCACCAAAAAACTAGGCCACGGGTGAGCGGATGAACCAGATGGGGAATACACGCGGCTGTGTGGCCTGCTGCTCTCTGCCACTAACATGCCACTTTGCCAGTGTGAATGAGAGCAGCCACGGGCAATCCGTAAGTGAATGAGCAGGGCTTTTCAACAAAACTGTATTTACAGAAGGCAGGCAGTGGGCCGGATTCGGCCTGCCAGCTGGTGGGCTGGGCCACCAACCTCCAGAGAAGCTAAAGGGGAAGGAGAATCCTGTGTGACAGCAATAAAGACCACGGACAGAAACAGCATCGTGGGCACAGGTCCCCGGGCTGAGCTCTGGAATAGCAGGCGCTAATGTGCACTGAGCTGCTTCATACGTAAGTCTGTGTGGTGGCCCCGAGGTGAGTGAGTGCTGAATGGTTCCCCTAAACCAGTGGTCGGCAAACTGCGGCTCACTAGCCACACACGGCTCTTTGGCCCCTTGCATGTGGCTCTTCCACAAAACACCACGGCCTGGGCGAGTCTATTTTGAAGAAGTGGCGTTAGAGGAAGTTTAAGTTTACAAAATGTGGCTCTCCAAAGAAATTTCAATCGTTGTGCTGTTGCTATTTGGCTCTGATGACTAGTGAGTTTGCCGACCACTGGCCTAAACCATGCGAGGATGTCAGCATAATTACACAGACTTTACAAATGCAGCCACGGACAGCTAACAAGCATCGTTTTACCTAACAAAAAGCAGAGATGAGGGGCTCTGGTCCCCAGGGTTAAGGCATTCCAAAGGCCTGAGGACAGCCCCCTAAAAGGTGTGGCCTTAGAAAAACCGTGACCTCCGAACCTAGCGATAAATCTGAGCTCGGCTGCTGTCTCAGTACCAACAGGATCACGAGCAGAGGTCACCTTGCCCCAGCATCATTCCACTGTGGGAACCATGGTAACGGCTCCACGTCCCTGGGCCGCCAACCTACCCCGGCGCCCTCCCGCCCCTGGACCGGCTTGCTCCTGACCATGAATGTGTGACGTGGAAACACCGGACTGACCCCCCACCTCCCAGAGCTGCACGTGGAGAGAATCGGACCCGGAGGCGAGTCCCGTCACGCCCCGACCCCCGCATCGGAGGGAGACACTCTACCTAAGAAAGCAATCTCGTCCTTGCACAGGAGCTCCGGGAGTTTGGGGTTTTCGGAAGCGTGGCCCCAGCCAGCCCACACCGCCTGCAAACACAGAGGCAAGAACGGAGATCTTCCTTCTCAACCAGCCCCCCTTCCACCTTCCTCCCACCCCCACCCCCCCCAACCCCGCCCCCCGCCATCGCACACCAAGAGCTCTTTGCTGGGTCACATCAGCCCTGGGTTTCAGAGTCTAGGACCCTCCCGAGGGCGGGCTCCAGCTGCCCCAGGGCCAGGGCGTCACCCCCGGGGCGGACGGGGGCGCCGTCCCACCCACCTGCACGGGGATCCTCTTGGCGATGTCCACGATCAGCTCCACGTTGGCGTAGTTGTTGTTGTTGGGCCCCCCGGGGACGGGGACATACTGGTCTGCCATCTTGATGTACTCTGGAGGAAGGGAGGGAAGAGGAAGAGCAGAGAGGCTGGAGACGGCCATCCGTGGGAGAGCTGCAGGACGCACCCACATCCCGGCCAATGAGAGCATAACCGGGACGCGTCTAGGGCAACACTGGACAGACGCGTATGATCATCAGAAGAAAACTGAATGTGACTTTATCTATGGAAAGATATGTGTGTTCAGCCCGGCCGGTGAGGCTCGGAGCATCGACCTATGAAGCAGGTTCGATTCCCGGTGAGGGCACATGCCCCGGATGCAGGCCGTGCAGCAGGCAGCCGATGGACGATTCTCTCTCATCATCCATGTTTCTCTCTCTCTCCCTCTCCTTTTCTCTCTGAAATAAATTATATATAATATATATATATACATATATATATATATATGTATATATATATATATATTTTTTTTTTTTTAAAATATATTATGTGTATGTGGACTAAGCCTGAAGGGAACAACAGAAAGAAAGAAGCACATTATCAAGTGGTGAGATTAGAGGTAGGGTGTTATTTCAAACTCCTCAACTCTTATCTTCGCATTGTTTTCCCACGGAAAAATACAATGTTTGCATATCCTCCAGTGAAGGTTAAAAAAAAAAGAAGATATAATGTGTGCTTCTAATCACGGCAAAGAACAAACATAAAATAGGCCTTCTTGCTCACATTGGGAGTGTGCAGGCCAGTCGCGATAACAGAGCTCCAGACCTTTTCAGCTCACCCATTTACACTGTGCCCCAGACCAACCCCCTGCCCCATCATGTCAAAATAATAAGTTTCCCTGGCTGGTGTTGCTCAGTGGTTAGAGGATCGGCCCATGCACCCAAGGATCCAAGGTTTGCTTCCTGGTCAAGGGCCCGTACCTGGGTTGCAGGTTCTCTCCTCACCCCCTGTTGGGGTGCGTTTGGGAGGCATCCAGTCTGTGTGTCTCTCACACATAGATGTTTCTTTCTCTCTCTCTCTCCCTTCCTCCCTGCCTTCCACTCTCTGTGAAAAGCAATGGGGGAGGTGGGGGATATTCTCAGGTGAAGATTAACAAAAATAAATAAAATACGATAATAATAAACAGAGACGCTTTAAAATGGAGCCAGAGCTGCCAAGAGAGAGGAACTTCCTTACACATCTTCTGCCTCAAATCTTTGGAATATTGAAAAGGGCAAAACGACCTTCGGACTGGGCCCAGGACAACACTGTGCTGCAAAAAATGAAACTGTTTGCAGAGATGACAAGAAAGCGGTTATTATGACTACCAGGCTGGAGATTAAAAACACTGTTTAGAATTAGCATCACTATAGAATCTGCACTCCTAAGTAACCCTTGCTTTTGTATCCTAATCTGAACACTATCTGGGCTTCAGTCTGAATCAATGCATCCGAAATAGCTGTTCTTAGCAGCCTCACACGCATACTGCTTCTCCCTTGGAAAACGAATAGTCGCTCACCGTTTGTATGACCCTGGGCGAGGGACTTATGTCCCCGGGCCTCACCTAGAAAAGGGAGCCAACCATCAAACCTGTCCTCTTCGGTCCTCGTGAGTTCAAAGGAGGCGGCATCCCGCAGGGCAGAGCCCGGGGCCCATGCCCACAGTGGGGAGTGGGTTCAGAGGACAGGACTGAGGTTGCTGGTGCCGAGGACAGCACTGCAGGCTCTGGGGCATTCAGGAGCGGGCACAGGACCTGAGCTGTGTTAAAAAGGTCAGTTTTCCGCTGTGTGGAGAAGGGTCTGTACACAGATACGTTGTTCTGGATAATAAGCAAATTGTCCAGTACGAACACTAGCAGAATGATCTAGGCTATTAGACAGAAAGACAGTAAATGAATAGGCGAATGGAAGAACAGATCATTGGAAATACAGTGATCCATCTGCAAGAAAACACGTCTGGAGGGAGAGACGGCGATCTGTGGCCACATGGACAGCGCTCACAGATGGGAATCGGCTTTGCACGTGAATCATCTGCATTTTTTTAGGACGCAGAGGTCATTCTTGTTGTCAGCAGACATTTTAATCAGATGAAGAAGAAAAGACAAATAACTGCAGGCTCATGACAGAGCCAGCCTGGAAGTCTGCTTGGGTCCAGAAGGGACTTGCCCGGGCAGGAGCAGGTGAGGGCAGGTAAGGACAGGGCCTGGCGGGTGGGAGGGGAGGGAGTGAAGGCCCAAATACCTGCGTTGGCCTTGAGGTCCTCTGGAGTCACCATGACGACAAACCGGATGGCGCGCTCGTTCCGGAACATCTCGTAGGCCCACCGGCGGATGGAGCGCATGCACTTCACGGCGGCGATGCCGTTGTTGGCGATGAGCACCTGGACAAGGACACGGAGGACGGGGCTACAGCTGCACACCTACCTGCACCGGAGGCTGTGTGCCACCCGGGGGTCCAGCTCACGGCTGTGGAGGCTGCTGGAGCATCTGGAGCACACAGCCCCGCACCTGACGGGTGCTCTACGTCTGAATGAATGGATAAACGGATGGATGGGTGGGTGGGTGGGTGGGTGGATGGGTAAATGGATGGATGGATGGATGGATGACAGGATGGGTGGTGGATGGATGGATGGATGAATGGATAGATGGATGGATGGATGGATAAATGGATAGATGGATGGATGGATGGATGACTGGATGGATGGATGACTGGATGGATGAGTGGATGGATGGATGGATGGATGGATGGATGGATAAATGGATGGATGGATGGATGGATGGATGGATGGATGGATGGATGGAAGGATAAATGGATAAATAGATGGATAGATGGATGGATGGATGGATGGATGACAGGATGGGTGATGGATGGATGAATGGATGGATGACTGGATGGGTAGGTGGATGGATGGACGCAAATCTCTTTTGAAAGAGATTGTATTATTATCCCTATTTGGGGGTGAAGATACTAAAATTCAGAGGAGTTTAGGCACTTTCCCAAGGTCACATAGCTAGTAAGTGGCAGAGCTGGGACCCGAGCCCTCCTTGGTCTGGCCTGAGCTCTGAACTCCACCCCCACCATGCTGCCTCTGCATGCAATAAGGAAAGGAAAGGCAGTAATGCTGGCTGTCCCCAGCAGTAGAGTACAACAGAACAGGTCCTGGTCTCAATTCTTGTCTGAATCACGGACTTGCTATTTGGTGTTAGTTCCTAAAACAACTAGGCGCCTGGCTTCAAAGCCGTGACTGGCAAGAGCAAATCCTATCGGGGGTGGGCAAAAGTAGGTTTACAGCGGTGAGTAGGTGAAACACAGTCTATTCTGTTATTATTTCTGTATTACTATATTATTTATTATTATTACTATTAACTTATTTTTACCCGCCCCTGTACCTTACGGCCCTTCCATCGCTGACTGATCTTCACAACAGCCCTGAGTGAGAGGTGATTGCTTCACCTGCTGGGAAAAGCTCCCATCCCGTCCGACTCTCCACCCCACCCTGCCCGGCCTCGCCCAGAGCACGGGACCCCATCGGTACCTTCTCAATGACCCGGTCCCCCCCAAAGCGCATGACAAACTCGGCCGGCGAAGCCACGGTGAAGTCTCTCTGCACGTCCACCCTCTTGTGCTCGCGGCCCCTCTTCACCAGGTGGAGTCCGGACATGCTGGGCCTGCGGAGGGAACAGGGCAGCACGCGTGAGCCAGGGCGCCCGGGCGGCCGGGGAGGAAGCGGGGTGCCCAGCACCCACAGAACCAAGGCCCACACGGAGCAGCAGTCATTTCCCACGGAGGCTCAGGAAGAGGCCGGCATTCCTACAAAGCAGGAGCCGCCCCAGACCCACCCTTAGGATTTTCCACCTGAAATTAACGTTCACGTGATATGGCCCGCGTTTAGGAACTCTAGGAAGCTTGGAAGAGGAGTGTAAGTGTATGATCAGGGAGAGAGGGTCACACCCTAATCCTTTAGACCTGTTCACCTGCAGGGACACCGTTCACGCACTTTCCTGTGTGTGCCAACGTTTTAGAACTGAAAACAAAAAAATGCAAAACAAAAAAGGAGGGGTTGCATGCCCCACCCCCTCCAGATCCAGCCAGCAGGGAATTGCTCCGTGGCCCTTCGGCACCTCCGGCGTTCCGAGCAACGTGTGTGCCGCCTTGTGAGTCGCCCCTCTGAGCCACCACCTGTGGCCCTCCTCCCCTGAGCGATGAGGAATCGATGCTTTTACGTGGCCATCCCGTCCACTGCCCTCCTCCCGACCTCTCACTAGGGCCCAAGGAGATTCGCGTTCAGTGTTTTTAAGAGTTTGAGATGATGTCCTAACCGGTTCAGCTCAGTGGATAGAGCGTCAGCCTGCCGACTGAAAGGTCCCAGGTTCGATTCCGGTCAAGGGCATGTATCTCAGTAGGGGGTGTGCAGGAGGCAGCTGATCGATGTTTCTAACCCTCTATCCCTCTCCCTTCCTCTCCGTAAAAAAAATCAATAAGATATATCTAAAAAAAAAAAAAAAAAAAAAAAAAAAGAGTCTGAGATCATTATCCACAAGTGAGGGTTGGGTTAGACTAGATTTTCCTTTTTTTTTTTTCCTGGAGTGAATGAGTTTTTCATTGACTTGTCTTCCTTGCACCGCTGCCGATTCCTCCCTTTCCTCCTCACAGTTTCCCGCTCATGTAAGACAGCTGACCCTCTCCATGGGCGACATCTCTGCTGGAGGCCTCCCCCCTCCCCTCGCCTAGACGGGCTGTTCTCTGGGCCCTGCACAGTGTCACTCTGGATCCTCCCTCTGCTGACGCCCTTCCATTCCCGCTGCCTTTCCTTGAGATCTGCTCCCTAATTTGGTGGCTCCCTCCCCCTTGGTGACCCCCCTTGTCTGGCCGGGGCATGTCCTCCAGCAGCTTCCCCCAGTGAAGAGGGGGCACAATGGCCGGGCACGTGGCCACGCCCCCCACGTGCCTGTCCTGCCTCTGGCTGCGCGGGCTCCCTCGTCCCCGTCATCCCAGAGCCCCGGGTTCTAACGTGGATCCGTGTCCTGTCCCCGGCGGCGTGGCTCTTTGGTGTCCTCTCTTGTTTCTGGGGGAGACATCCTGGCGCAGCTAAGACGAGGTCTGCAGGGAGGTGAATGTTTTGCAGCCAGACATGTTCTAGAACGGTCTTCTGCCCTCACACGTGACCCCCTGGACCGCCGACTGCGGAATTCTAGAAGGGAAACCCTTCTCCTTCGGAGTGCTGGGCGCCTGGTGCCATTGTCGTGGCTTCCGAGGACGCTGGAGCCAGAGCCATTCTGGCCCTTGGTTCTTGGTGGGCGACCTACTTCTTTCATATCCAGCAGCTTTAAGGGATCTTCTGTCCTCTGTCCTCCCGTCTCACGGGGATAAGCTCAGATGCGGGTCTGCTCCCAACAGTGAGGCTGGGGGCCTGCTGGGCCCCTTCGGTGTGGAAACCCACACCCGGGACTTGGTTCAGGTATTTCCTCCATGATTTCCCTGCCTCCTTTTCCTCTGCTCTTTCCAGAAGCCCTAAGACGTGGATGTAGAAATTCCGGCCTGGCCCAGCAGCGTACACATTGCTCCCGCTCCTTCTTCCTGTCCCTTTTCTTTTACTTCCTGGGCAGTGCCTTCCGCCTTCTCTTCCAACTGTTCCGGAGTTTTTCACTTCTGCGACCCTGTGCTTACTGCCCACGAGCCTGTTTCTGGCCTGCAAAAGCTCCTTTTGTGCATCCTGCGTGCGGCATCCTGGCCAGCCTCGGTGAGAGGATTAACGACAGCCTTTTCGAGTTCTCTCCTCCTAGAACAAGATTTCTGTTTCTCCCACGTGTCCTGTGTCCCTTTCTGGGTCTGGGGCCCGCCTTCCTGTCAGAAACTGTACCCAAATGTTAGGTTACTTGTCCAGGGCAAGGAGCAGGAACGAAAGGGCTGATGACAAGAGCTGAGAATGTGGTGAGGCCGGTGGACCCTGAGCTCCACTCTGGGGGGTCTGTGTTTTGATACCCCAAGTATCTTTTTTTTTTTAATCTCAAGTGCTCCACAGAATAACAGTTTTGTTGTTGTTGTTGTTGTTAATCCTCACCAAATATATTTTCCCATTGATTTTTAGAGAAAGTGGAAGGGAGGGAGAGAGAGAGAAACATGGATGTGAGAGACACATCAGTTGGCTGCCTCCCACATGACCTTAGACCAGGGCCGGGGATCGAGCCTACACCTGAGGTACATTGACCAGAATCGAACCCGGGACCCTTCTATCCACTGAATCAAATTGGCCAGAGCCCCAAGTATCTATAGAGTCGTCCTCCCTCGCTGGTCCAGCCCTCCTGGAGGAAGTGCCTGGGTCTCCTGCATGGAGGAAAGACGAACAGGGAAGAAGGGGAAACTGTTCGGACAGGTCTGGGGGGGAAAGTTCAACTTTCAGGATTCAACACCTACAAAGACCCTATCCTCCTGCTGGGAATACAGGCCCCACGCCCCCAGGGTGCCCATCAGTCCCCAGGCCCGAGACCATGGGCCTTTCCCTCTCGGAGAGCAAACCTCCTGCCTCCTATTGGAGGAGAACTGGGCAGCCCCCGGCCACAAGGAGCAGGAGAAGAGGGACAGCTCTGGGGGCTCACAGCCTTCCTCGCCGCTGCTCTGGGCCTCGGCCCAACTGGCTCTGCTGAGCCAGTTCCCACTCGCCCGTCCGCTTCCCAACCTCCCAAACATTGCTTGTCTCCCCTCCTATTCTCCCGGGCTTGATGGGCTGCTATCTCTCTCTCTCTCTCTCTCTCTCTCTCTCTCTCTCTCTCTCTCTCTCTCTCTCTTTTAAATCTCTTTGTTATCTTTTGGGGGACTTTGACAGGAGCAGAATCGAAAGGAATATTCAGTCCACTCTCTTAAACCAGCCAAGGAGCCGCTGCCTGCCAGGAATTAGGTTAGAGGTTAACCATCCGGACGTGTGCCCGGAGACAGGCACCGGCTCCTTGGGAGGCTGGGCTGAGTGGGTTCGGGGGCCGAGAAGCTGATTGATTATGAGAAGACCCCCCACACGCCCTGTCTATGAGGAGGCAAATAAGCAGTCAGGGAAAAGAAATTCCATTTAACGGACGAGGAAACTGAGGCCCGGCCAGGCAAAGGGGGTGGCCCAGCAAGTCGCCAGGCCTGGGGCTCTTTCCCTCACACCAGAAAGGAGGGAGTGGGCATTTTCTGCTATAAAGTCTCCGAGAGAAAAAACCTCCTGTACAAACCTGCAGTCTGTCCACCCTCTCCTCTCCACCCCCCTCCCCAGTGGCGCCACCAAAAGGCTGTGCCTATCAGAGATCAGGAAACAGACTTCTGGGCCAGGGGGACAAAGGAGAAATGGCGCTCCCTCCCAGGGTCTCCCAGCGCCTTCCCTCCTCCCTTCACTTCCCCCCAGGCCAGTGGTGGGCAAACTCCTTAGTCCGCAGAGCCAAATATCCACAGGACAACGATTGGCATTTCTTTGGAGAGCCACATTTTTTAAACTTAAACTTCTTCTAACGCCACTTCTTCAACACAGACTCGCCCAGGCCGTGGTGTTTTGTGGAAGAGCCACACTCAACGGGCCAAAGAGCCGCTTGTGGCTCGTGAGCCGCAGTTTCCCGACCACGGCCTTCCCCATCTCCTAAGTGCCAAGGGCCCTTCTTCTGCCTCCATAACTTGGTTCCTGAGCCCACGCAGCCCCGCTGGCTCACTTCTGCCACCTCTGTGACTTTTCTAAATAAACTTCCTCTTCTCATTTGAAAAAGAAAAACAGTAAGAGAAATGAAGGACGGAAACCCACCATGTCTACATGACATTGTACGATACGGGCTTTCCGTTCAGACTGTCTCTGTTCTGCTTCGATGTCTGAATGAATGAACGAGGGAATGACCAGATGAGACCTGGCCCTCGCGGTGGAGGGAGTGCCTCTGGTGAACTGCCAGCAGCTCTTCTCCTAAAACCTCCCAGCTCTGAGCTGCTGCCATGCACTAGGGCTTAGGAAAGGGCTTTGGAAGGTCCATCGCATCTTGCTAGTGTGAACGGTGCTTGTGTCATAATTACATTTCGTTAGCCAGTTGCTTTTTGAAGGAACTGATTTGAGCCCCAGCCGGTTTGGCTCAGTGGCTAGAGCGTCGGCCTGTGAACTGAAAGGTCCTTTTTCTCTCTTTCTAAAATCAATTAATTAACTTTAAAAGTAAAAATAACAACCCTAGCAATTTGACCTGAAGTGCAACAAGGAAAGCTCCCTGGCCAGAAAGGCCCGGTGCGGCCGGGGACAAGCACTCGGAGCGCCTTCTGACCGCAGAGCCGGTGGCCCGGCCCCTCCACCCGGCGGCCCACGCCCCTCGCGGCAAAGCGGCCGGCGTGGCTCTGGAAGGCCATCCCTAGGCCGGCGGCTGTTTTTATTTGTTTGGACAGAGCTGGAGGCCAGCCGCCATTGGCTCTGGAGGGCTGACCTTCGGCTGGCGTTTGGCAAGGGCGGAAGGTGACATGGTAACTTTGGAAATGGCTGCAGGTGCAATCAACTGCGAGACTACGCGACAGCTGTCAGCCAAACCCCAAACGCTGTCAGCTGCCGGGGCACACGCCCAGGGCGAGCCGCATCGGGAGGGAGGGGACAGAGTCTCCAGACACCTGGGATCAGCACGGGGGCTTCCCCCTGAACCCCCGCCGCCATCATCTCCTGCTCAGGATGAGGAAGCCG